TCCTATCACAGGGAAACAACACCTCTTGAATGGAGAAGAGGTCATTGAGTATATGAAATTAATGTTTTAAATACGAGATCTGATAAAATTTTGTTTCGTGTTCGTGATGTTGATGAGTATTAATAGTATTACATTTTATTCAAAATATGTATATATACATGTACCGGGACAGAAATTCGACGTGTGTCATGACTTACTCGTGCTTATGGAGTGCCTATTGTTGTTATACAAAAAATGAAGAAGAAAAGGATGACTTGAATGAAATAGTTTTCTAAGATGTAAGGAACATTGATATATATCTTGAATATATTCCTTATCGATGTAGTAACAACGAAATGGTTTACGGTTTTTCTTCAACTCATGAAAGAATAGTGAATTTATCGTTATTTATTTTTCAAACTAAACGACGATATAAAAGCATGTCTTCTCAATATCTTGTATGTCTTATATATATATTAATGTTCTTCTTTATGATGAGTACAATTGTTGATATTTTACCCTTACTGCTCCTTCTGGAATGTAATTTATTTGTTTCGCTGTGCTCAATATGTATCGTCGTGAATTATGATGCACTTTTTCGCTTTAAAAAAAAACAACAACGAAATTTTCATACTTTTTAATTTTTGAAATGGATCGCAGACATTTTTCAAGATGTATTTCCTTCTTTATATCATGCAAAGCTGATGAATTTTGATAGTATAAATACGAATGGGGTAACACAGGATTGAAGTTACATTCTTTACAGCTCATCATCCTGTCGGTTTCATCTTTCATTAAACGTGGTTCAAAACATGCGGTTAAAGAAATACTTCTGCTTTTAAAAAAAATCGTTTCAGGGCATCAGCTCACGTTGTTTCATAGACTTAAAGCTGTCCTATTTATATTCCTAACTCTATTTCTTTTCACTATACGGTTGTTGTTTTCAACACCGTGGTTACTCTTATGAATTATCTACTCACTCGTAGATTTTATTTACAAAAGGATGTTGAATCTTTCATGCAGGCATGAAATCAACACTGTTGAACGATCCTTTTAGTTTGTTTATTATTATTATGATTAATATTATTATCAAATATCATAATCCATGTACTATTCGTGAACCAAATCAAGTAATACTTTTCCCGTTGTCCGATCGTAAAGTGTACGGTGTTACTCTCCTTATCAACTACTTGTAGATACAAATTGATATCAATTTATTCATCGTCGTTGTGTAAATATATTATTTATTTCATAGCAAAGAAATGTTCTCTTACTCATCGAAGTTGTTTTATTATATCTTTTCCTCTTCCCTCCCCCTCTCTCTCTATCTCTCTCTATCTCTCTATATCTTGTATTCGTATATAGATCTATAATAGCGAAAATTGTTTGTCATTTACTATGTTAGTATTTGCATTATAATATAAACTGTTTTAATATTCAAAACCACTACTCCACCTGCATGCGCTGTATACTGAAAATTATCATTGGTTATACGAATGTTTAGTCATTCCCTTTAAAAAAAAGCATTTTCTTCCTTTCTAATGAATTGTACAATAATTGGAATGTTGGCGATGATAGTTGGTTTTAAACATAATTATCATCGCAATGAACAAGTAGGAAATGGTGAAAATAGTAACCAATGTGAAATGTGGGTTTTCCTTTTGTTATCATTAATTTTATGACATAGACTTACTGCCTTATTGATTTTAGTTTATTGCTCTAAATTATCGTCAATATCTATCATTGTTTTCAGTTACTTCGTATATGATAATTTTGAATACCCATATCATTTTACAACTCATGTTTCTCGAATGTTATCATATCTCTCCAGGTAATTTATGATCTCGTAATATGCTGATATTTATTATATTAATAACAGTTAAAAATCTTAATATATAGATTTGTTAACTTTACATACATGTAAATGTGTAAAACCGCACGGGAAATTATTTTTGCCTCCAACGAAATAAATGCTATTTGCAAAAAAGAAAACGAAAACCGGTATGAATCAGTGACAGATCGATAAACGGTTGAAAAATTCAAAAATGAGTGATCTGGATATTGAGAATTGTTCAGGTTATCTCATTTAACTATCTTTGCGTAAAGATTTAGGAGGAATTGTTAGAGCTCTTCAATGCCTTTAACACAAATTAATTGCATGATTAGTCGATTCCATTTGGAAAACTAGAAAATGATCGAGACAAAAATTACGTTTTCTACTTCAAGATATGTGAAAAATTGTGCAGTGCCCTCGTCTCGTTTTATACAAACGTCGAGATAATTGTCTGACGGTGAGCGCTTTCAAAAGCTTTATGGTGCTTTTTCTATCGTGGAAAATGTTACAGATGTGTGTCAGAAGGTGTTTTCTTTCGGTCGTTTACGATGTCATTATATATTTGCTGTATTGAATTAATTCATAACTCACTTTTCAAGAAAAGGAATATGTAATGGTCTTCTGTATACTTCGTTCTGCGTATAAGAAGAAACAATGAATTTATTTGATTGTTAGTGCGTTAATTTTGCTTTGTAATTTGATATCTGGTCTACAGCTCAACTTGTCAGTAATACATAAAGATATAATAAAAGTTTACAAAATCATGCTGTAAAATGTATTATTGGTGTACTTAAGTTGCATTGCAGCGACGGAGATTGGAATCGTTTGATGTTGTCATTTTTGTTTGACAGACAGACTCTAAAGAGAAAGAGAGAGTAGGAGAGAGGGGGAAAGAGATCGAGACAGATAAATGTCGCAGCGAGAAGAAAAAAAGCTAAACAATCAATGAAATAACTGGATACATACTTGAATAAACAAAACGAATGAATGATTTAAAATATAAATATACAAATTAATAAATGAACAAATACATAAATAAATAAATAAGAACAAAATATAATTATATCTTACCAAAAAAATATAAGCACAAACGAATAAACAAATAGATACTAATACATAATACATAAATAAATAAGAGATTATAAGAAAATAAGAATATGAACAGTTTTCTTGGAATCCTGCCCTATATACCTCCCCAGCCAAGAAGCTACAAATTATTTCCCTTCATTTTGAAAGGGAGAGAGGGGTGGCCCCTCCGCCCCTGCATCAACCTGAAGACACTGCATCAATATATTGTCACCTTCCTTCGAACTAATGCACTATCCTCTTATTATCAATACATTTTTTTTTCGCCGCGTGGTCATTTCTTTTTGCATGGGTGTTCATTTATTTCATAAAGTTTCTGCAAGCTCATTTTTCCGTTTTTGTGAAGTATAACTACATCACTGAGAAACAAACTCTATCCCACGGAGAGAAAAGTATTTCGGAATTCTTGATTTTAGATTTTCTTTCTCTTTTATTGAGAAGATTAGAAATGGAGTGGTTTGGAAAATAATTTTGTAGTGAATAACCTAGTACTTTAAAAATTCATTAAACACCGAGAAAAATACAACAGAAAATCATGCACTTCAATAAATCTCAATGTAATGCAACTTTGATAACGTAAGAGTATTGAAATAATGTACACGCATGATTTGAATTTCGAAAAGGGGGGGGGGCGGAAATCAAAATTAACGAGGAGCTTAGAAATATTTTTTTGTAGAGAACAATGAATAGCAACAACCAAAGAACATGAATACAAATGAACTATTTAACACCGTATTAACTGTACGTTTTGAGAAAGACGGGGAGTAATCAATGATAATCTCTAAGTTACGCTGCATCGTAAGCCTTCTCCAACGAAAAGTATAAAGAAAATACCACGGGAAAATACCTTTTAGGACCATCCATAATGATGAATATTCACTCTAATGCCTGATGCGTACCACTCATCCATTTTCTGATCCTAATGCACCATTAAAATGCAAACTACTCGGATTTAACTATTTTGGTTTCATCTCTGAGACGCATCTCGAGTTTGACATTAAATCATATGGCACAATGGATAATCCTCAGGATGAAATAGAATACGACAGAGCCAAGACGCCTCCGGGGCATTTGCTTTCTAGAAGTCGCTGGAATAAAAACAAAACAAAACAAAACCAAAAAACCTCTTTCTTTTGGCGAGGTTTCAATATCAAGGAATGACAATTATAATCTTTCTTTGTCAAGATAAAAAGGAGCGATCTTGCCGAAGGGTACTCTGGTACAGCCTTGAATAAACACTTGTCCCCAATGAGAATGACAATATATGTGCATCATTGAATGAAATGTAGAGAAATTCCCCACCTACTCGTTCCAGTTATTTTATTGTTTGAAAGTAAGAGATACACTATATCTGAAAAGAAGAAGAAAAAACACGATGACAGTAAAACGTCCTTCACTTGCGCAGTTTCTTGGAATGAGTAGTGTTTCTTTCTTTTATTCACTTCGGAAAGATATTGGTAAAAGTAGGCCTACAAGTTAAACCTTTGATAATAAATCTTTGGTTGATTTTCAAACATGGTCACGTCTCCCTCTTTTCTTTTCGCCCTACTACTTTTATCAAACAAAATAATGTTCATTTATCACGTCAGTATAAAGTAAAACTATATTGATCATACTACATCGAAAAACGATGCTCTACATCGGCCTGTTCATCTATTCTGAATATATTTGTCATTGTCATTATTACTATCATCACATCCATCATTACCAGCATCACCTTGTTTCACCACCATCATAATCATCTTGTAAAATTGGTAATTTAGAGCATTCTGGATCAAAAAATAAAATAGAAAAGCGTCACACAATTCTTCACCATCAGCATCCTCTTCCATATTTAACGTCAGAACTCTTACATACCTCATTCTCTAATAATTTCGAGTACAAGAAAGAGAGAGAGAGGGAAACTCAGCGAGCTACATACTCCTCGAGGAGCAAGGAGGGGGGGGGGGGGAATCTCATCTTGGACGCACATGACATGTTATGTGTTGATTATCTAATATAGCAAGATTTAAGATACGGCCCATACTACGTAATTACACAGATTATGAAAGTCACAATAACAGTATTTCTAACAAAAGAAAACAAACAAAAATACTGATAATTTCACGTTAAAAATCTTTTATTAAGTACACAAATAGAGTGATTACAAATATTGCACCAGTTGAATAACATCTTTTTCAATAAATAAATGCAATAATCACATGAGCCATTTTGGAGCTTAAACAATGATCAAAGTAATCTTCAACAATGTCATTACTTTTGCACCTTATGACAGCGAGCCAACATTATCAGCAAGGATAAGTATATATGCCAGAGGTTTACCAGTACACAAAATACTTCACCATGTTCACTACATGTATTGAGTTGTCAAACCCGAGTTTACATAAAAAAGACGGACATCAAACACTAAACAGGCTAGAAAAAAAAGGGGGAAATACCTTAAACCTAAAGTCCAATGTTTTCATGATTATTATTCAATTGGAGTTTGCCTGGAGGCGTGACTAGGTAATACTGATTAAGTCCAAGACAAAAGTATTCTCATTAGACGATTGAAGTTACTCCCAGTTACATGAAATACAGCTTCATAAAAAAGAACATTGCTGTTGGGGTTGGGGGTTACTTCTTTGATTAATAGTAACACGTTCTAAGATTCAAGTTTTGCCTAAAAATATTCCAAAAGTTTACATAAAAACAGTGACAATAGGATTTTAACATAAAATGAGCATAACATTTCCCATGAAACATGCGAGACCAGTCTCTTGTAGGGTTAAACAAAAATTAAAACTTGCACCATTACATAAATTTAAGTGAGCAGAACACATACAAAAGAAATATATAAGTTCAGTTTATGAAAACTGATATTTCATATCAAGACATTCAAGATCATCTTCCACTTCGGAGCATACACAAAGCATGATAGAATTGATGGACGTAAGTAGACAGTTTGATTTACATATCAAATTGCCACAGAAAACAAAAGGAAATAAATATACCCTCCCCATAAAAACTATTTAGCGAGATAAGAATTAAGAAAACTAAAAATTCAAAGTGATATATAATGGAAAACATTTCAAAATATATGATCAAATGTAGAAACACATTTGATAACTTCATTATCATGTAAAAGAAGCTATAGCAATCCAACCCTGAATATAATCATCTTTTATTCGTTGAATGATACCTTGCGATGTAAACATATTTCAGATTAGCATAATAAATATTCATACAATTGTTATTTTGGCAATGACAGACAGACAATTTTTATAATTTGATTTTTGTATGTATCAAAGTATCAAAAATCACATTCTTAAAGTACAACACAAGAAGAAATAAGATGAAATTCCATGAACACTAATTTTAAATAAACATAAAACCATTCGATACAGTAATACCAAAATACATGTTCAGACACACAAAGAGTCTTTGTTTAAAAATAAAGAAGTTTCATCATAATTGCACATTTTATACCATGATCAATCTTTCCGTAGAATAGTACATTTTGTGTAACACATTGAAAGTAGCATTAACTTTGTTTTCTTTTTCACAACACAAATTAAAATAAACTTGTACACCTATGTACGAAATCTACCTCATAAATCTACAGAACATCTAAAGTTATCTTGGATGTTGCACAGGAAATTACAGATAATACATGTATGTGCATAAAAAAGATTTTTCTTATGCCAGGAACATAGATATTTTTGTGAGTAGTATTAACCAAAAGTAACACAGCCTATCCACAATACATGTATATGTTTGCAAAAGCAGGGCCAGCTCATTTTCACCTGATATATATTTTACCAGACAACTATTAATGAAGTCCATGATAATAAGGTCAAATCTACAGCCGTCAGAAGACATACACCCAGTCATTCCAAATTAAATCAAAGAAGACTCTATAGTTTATAAGTGGGTAATCATGACAACATAATACAAATAAAATTGACAAATCTTTGAAATTATCATTGTATTCACAGATGTGTGTATAGTTACTTTGCTTGTACAAACCAGAAAAAACAAACAAAGATAAGATAAGTAAGCAACACATTCAGAACATCTGCCACAAGAGCAAAATGAAGGCAAACATTTCAGTCAACACCAATAAGAAGTGGCATTCAAAGATATAAATACTCACAACACAGCCACCTGACTTAGCTACTAAAGATATTAAATACTGCATGCTGACATTAGGGGTTTGCCATCATCGCCATCAACTAAGCTGGAAATAAAATACTTCATTACCATGAATATCAAATGAAGATAAAAGACAGTGAAGTTGGTAAAATTAAAGTTAACGCAGATACTATTTGAATTTTAACACAGAGTTGGAATTGCACAAAATGAGTAGATTTTGTTGGAAAGGTATAATTCAATACAAAACACACAAAAAGACTACGATACAAATAAATAACTTTCTTCTCATAAGATGGCATTTTTAATGTTTAAGATCATGAACCATTCATTAATCTTCAACCCTCAAACAAATGCCTCAAGAACATCTTCAATTGGCACACATATATGTACTTCTTGTACACACATGTAGCCTCATATTGAGTGTCTACCTGCATCCTTCAATCTTTTGAGCTTTCAATCATTGCTGCTAGCAACACTGTGGCATCCATCTTCAGCACCCCTGCGACTATCCTTGTTGTCATTGACGCAATTTCACCATCCCGTATATCAAACACAGTCATTGTTTGTGATGGTCTTACATAAACCCTCCATCTCTGATGTTATTCACATCAACAATACTAATAATCCATGTCAACATCATCATCATCCTTCCTAATCAACAACCAAGGTTCCCCTCAGCCTACATCAGTCCCATACTCACCCCACCCTCATCACTCCCATCTTTACCAAAGACAAATAATCAAGCCCCTTCCTACTACCCATGATTCCCTTTCAACACTCAATCACAACGATTGCTGCATCGGATGGTTTGATGTCTGCACAATCATCATCATCATCATCATCATCAACATCATCAGTCATTGACTTGGTGGGGGTGGGGGACATTCCATGTCACCGGCTGACAGCGGATGTTGTAGTACGGGGAGCAGATCTGCTGGTAGAGGGGTACACGATGAAAGATGCCAATGTTTGCAAACACCAGCTCTGAGCTGTAGTACGTGAAGAAGGGTCCTTCACAGCACGAGCACTGCCGCACGTTCTGCAACATTTCTGTTATAAATTACAAGATAGGCAAAAGTTAGACGATGTTTGGCTACCAGTTTTGTAAGTTTCATTGATGTAACATAAGAAATGTCAATTGCCATACAGTGTGTGGTACATTCTTCCCATCCCTCTCTATATGCTTCTTTGCATTTAATATACAGTTACTACAAACCATATTACCTGGATACAAAAACACATCACACAATATCCCTGCATGCATGTTCAAAGTTACTTAATCATTTTGAGCTTCTGCTGGTATACAGTAATAAATCATCCCTTTTTCTAAATTTCACACGTTTTATAAACAAGAGAGTAGAGTCCTCTTGATCAAAGTGAGGAGCAGCCTTGGATGATATAATAAAGAAATGATAAAGGATTTCTTGTTTTCTAGCCTACCTGATAACTTTGCAGGTAGATCCCCCTTGTTCCAGTTGACCCCACTGCTTGAGATGCACCGTGCTGCTAGCTCCTGTAGGGGTGGTACACTGGTCTCAGGACGGAATGTCAGCTTGGATGTTACCTCCTGGTCCCACTCATCTAAGAGCTTGTCCTGATTAACTGTTTCAAAATGAAAAATGCAGCAGATATCAAGACACAAATTCACCCCTCTAAATTTCTAAATTTCACCCGATAAATGGATGTTATGTTGCAAATGTTTGTTGAAAATTTGTCTGCACCATTATTAGAAAAAGTCTGCCATAAAGACTGCCTAGCTGTGATTGCCACTTTAACAGATAAGCTAATTGCAATTGAAACACCATAGTAATGTACAAATGGTGCCTTACATACCATTTGAAAATAATTACCTCTTAGGGGATTTAATAACCTTCAAAAATTCATAACTTTCATTTTTATTTATAGGGATTACCTAATGTCAATCCAAAATATTATGTGTGAAGGATGAATAATTCCCATTTCAATAAGTTTTGACTATTTAATCCTCGATCAGATATAACAGGGTAAACCATGGCATTTTTTTTAATAATGGCGTAAGTGTAATATACTTCACATCTCTGTATTTTATAACACAAAGCTCAGTGTATACCCAACAGTTTACCACCTCATACATGTATCTGAACAAGCCTTTTAAAGAAGTGTCTTACCACTGAATGTGTAGAGTTGGAGGTAGGAGAGGGAGGCAGGGAAGTACTTGAGAGGGTTGTTTCTAACATGTAGCTCCTTCAAACGATGAAGACGTCCTATCTGATCTGGTAAGGATGTCAATCTAGTGGAAAAATATGGGACATCCACAATAATAATAGTAATAATAATATTCTACTTATATAGCGCTTATTACATTGTCTCTAAGCGTTTTACAGATATACAATGAGGTTTTAGAAGTGGAAGCTAATTTGGTCGTAATCTACAAGATGTTCAAGGATGTATTTGGGGTATAATAAGAACAAATCAAAAAGTATCTCCCTAAATCCTACCATAAGAGGATGTCAGCTTACAAAAATGGACCTGAAAACATACTAACTGCATGTGTGCATTGGTTGTCAAAAAGAATAACAGGAAAGTAAAGTTACATTAGGCCATTAGGTAAAGTTGAGCACTGACTTTTTTTCTATTGCATTTCGGTGTCAATAAAAAAAAGTAGGTAACTACTTATTTGAGAATGTCCTTAATATCAAGGAAGAAGTTGAAGATACTGGACCTTGTATTTTATGACAAGAACAAAGGGCAGTAATATGTGCCTTTGTTGAGTTAGACTCCAGTGAGAGAGAGCTGAGAGAGTCTTAACTTGGAACTCAACCCCTATTTGACTGAAACAGACTTGAGACTCAAATTTAGAGTTGATTACGTCAAGGGCAGTGTTTTGATGAGGCAAGATATTGACTCCAGTCAAGGCTTGAGACGTGAGATTGAGATGACTTGAGTAAGAGAAACTCAACAGCTTCACTTTTCCCGACTAGGGTCTCAATAAAACACAATAACGATCCACCTCTATTTGACTGATCTTGACGTGAGACTTAAATTTGGTGATTGATAAGAACACAGACAGTGTTTTGACGAGTCAGGAAATTGACTTCAGTCTGACTTCAGATATAAGATTGAGAAGAAATCAAGTCAGAGAAAATCAACAGCTTTTCTTGATTAGGATCTCAATCACACACCTGGGCCCCATTTCACAAAACTTGTCATTAGTGACAAATGACAGTTTCTGTTATATGCTAGTGAAATCCTTGCTTCTGATTGGATATCAGCAGATTTGTCACTGATTTTTGTCATTTTGTCATTGAAAGAAAGGCTTTGTGAAACTGGTCCGAGTTCTATTCATTGTTCTGATCCAGTAGATTGTACCAACATACCTGTTGTTTGAGAGCCAGACTTTGTTGAGTGAAGTACATCTTGATAGAGATGCTGGGAGGTGGGTCAGTTCACAGGATGACAGATCTAATTCAGTCAGACGCACCAGCCTACCAAAGGCAGAGGGCAAACTCCGCAGATGATTCTCTCCTAAACAGAGAAAGGCATGTGTATGTGATCAACCTCAATAGTACCACAATGTTTCGTGCACATATACAGACAAGGAAAACGCTCTCGGCGGTCTCGCCTGCATAACGCAATTCAATATGATAAACCAGAACGTCAATGACGTAGCGCTCATCCGCATCTCACAACAACAAATATCGTAAATTTTATGTGGTACACTTTTGAACTGGTCAAAAAATAAAAATTTGATGACTGGAAGGGACATAATTTCATTTCTTTTGCATAAAGTACCATAAATAATCAATGGAGCAAAATCTCACAATTCTGTGTAGAAGTTTAGTGTTCCAAATTTAGCTCTACCAGATAAGGCAAACCAAATCAAAATCAGTCAAGAAATGAGGGAAAAGAAGCAATTTTTGTTATTTTTGGAATAAATTTGCATAAATTACCATAATTAATTTATGGAGAACAATTTCAAAATTCTGTGTAGAAGTTTAGTGTACCAAAGTTAGCTCTACGATATAAAGCAAACCAAATCAAAATTGGTCAAGAAATGAAGGAGAAGAAGCCTTTTTTGTGATTTCGAATAAATTTGCATAAATTAGCATAGATAATGAATTTCATGATTCTGTGTAGAAATTTTAAATCGCCTTCCTAGCCCTATCATATGAAACAATCAGAATCAAAATCGGTTGAAAAATAACGAAGAAGAAGCATTTTGAAAATCTTGATGTTGATGCCACAACAAAGTCTAAGTTTGTTGACCTTAAATGACCTTTGACCTCAACTTAGTGACCTGAAATTATACTCACATGATTGGGGAGACTTGATAACCCTATAGCCCAATTTCCATTGACTAAGAACTTATACTCTCAAAATTATATCAAAAATTCAAAAACTTAACCTTAGGTTAAGTTTTCGATGATGATGCTACAACATAGTCCAAGTCTGTTGACCTGAAATGACCTTTGACCTTGACTTTGTGATCTGAAATTTTACTCACAAGATTGGGGATACTTGATTACTCTATAATCAAAGTTTCATTGACTAAGAACTTATACTTTAAAAATTATATCAAAAATTCAAAAACTTAACCTTAGGTTAAGTTTTTGATGTTGACGCCGCCGCCGTTCGCCGTCACCGGAAAAGCGGCGCCTATGTCTCGATTTTTGCTATGCAGGCGAGACAAAAATGACATTTTTGATACAATATTTAAATCACGATGCCTTTTGAATGCTTCATGCTAATCCAACTTTGTTCTGTGATAAAACTTTCTCAATTCATGAGCCCACTTTCGAATACAAGAAAGGCATGCTTTTCATTAAAAATAATCCAATTCAGTAACACAATACAGTGCCCCTCTGTTGACAAAAAGAAGAAAGGCAATGATCCTATTTAAAAAGAGTGAAATTCCCCTTCTTGCTTAAACTTAATGTAGGCTATTCTCCCTTTATGCAAGAACATGGAGGATCAGACAGAAAATAGAGAATATTTCATGATGGTAAACTTGACAGAAATATCAGAGTTCTATCAAGATCAGACTTAAAAAGGGGAGGGGTGAGACATTTCTTGAAATCAACACAGTTCTGGCACTCACCGACATAGAGAGCGGTCAGATTGACCAGGTTGCACATCTCGTCCGGTAATGAGGTCAGCTGGTTGGAATGGGCACATAGCTCTTCTAGGTGTGTCAACTGACCGATGCTACCGGTCAGTTCGGTCAGTAGGTTGTTGGTCACATTGAGAATGACGAGGATGGACAGTCTACCCAGGGTGGATGGCAGAGACTGGAGGTGGTTGTTCTTGCAATCTAGCTCCTGGAGGTGACTGAAGTTACCTATGCATTTCTGACAAAAGAAATAAAAGGGAGAAAAAATTCAACTAAATAGGTACTGCGATAGCTATGCACATGAATAATGCAGTCACCTGTATTATTACCTGGTAAAAAGGAGCATCCAAATGTGTGGATTCATTGAAAACTCATTATAAAAAGCTGTGACTAAAACAAAATTCCTGATATAACAAGGTAATGTTCATGGTCCCACTGTAGTGGAAACATATCACAGAATACACCATCCCTCCATCCATCCTTTATTTGAAAAAAATAGTTCTAAACCCAGTTGGGATATGTCTCGATTCCAATCAATACTAGAGAGTTCTGATATACTCTACATGCATAAAAAGGTTCCATATAATATACAAGACAGGAAATCAATGAAGTCTTAGGGAAATTTAAGGTTCAACTGTATGTGTTTTGTGATCAATTATTCTTTCGTTTTTTTTCTTCAAAATTGGGCAATAATTAACACATAGAGACAGAAGTCAGCATTAAGAAATATTGATATTGTTAATATAAACAAAAGTAACTATATTTTCCATTAATGTGGGTATGGTGTCTTGCCACAAATTCCTTAAATTGAGAAGGATGCAAACACATTACATAGCATACAAAAGCATTCTGATATAAGTAGGCCTACTAACTGGCAGTTTCTCAAGGCAGTTGTACTGTAGGAAGAGTTGCTCTAATCCGCCCAGCAGGCCTATTTCCTCTGGCAGTGAGACAAGCCGATTGTTGGACAGATTTAGAACAGTCAGCTGGCGACCCACATAACCGATCAGCTGAGGGCAGCATTTCAGATTCATGTAACTGCAGTTTACAAGGACAAAAAGATGGGTAGTTATTAATAAAGATGCAATCAACCTGTTTAAGTTTCTGCTTTATCAATATGGCTGGCAACAATTTAAAAAATAAAAAAACCTAAGATTTTAAAAAATGGAGATATGAACCGATATAGTCATAATCTTATTTTCTGTGCTACAGAGTGTGTAATATATGCTGGGACTATGCTTGTACACTATTAAGGTAAACATTACACTGTTTATCAATGCTTGTTTATCCTTTACAAGTATTGTAACCTACTTCACCCTAACAAAGAGTTATTCAAACAAAAACAAAAAACAAGTGAGCATGTTGATGATACTTCACAATATATGCCACTTTTTCTTGAAATTTTCTGGACTGAATAAATGATGCTTTCCTACAAGATCTTGAAACAACACATTCCTACCTAATGACAAAATGGACCAAACTCTTTTTTTCTTCTTCTATTCTTTGTTTGACTAGGATAGGAGAGGAGTTGTAGCGGTACTGACCTTATGTCTACTTCCACCTGTTTCTCCTCGCATGCAGTCTCCACCATACCCAAGGCTGCAGCATCCCCTGTCCCATGGGCTGAACAGATGGACAGCTTGTTAGCACGGCAGCACGCCCCACACTGCTTGTAGCTGCACAATCAAGAGAGTGAGTGATTGAGAGACAAAATGTTATGCAAGGAAATGGTGTATGAATGAGAGCAGCGTATGTTGTGACTTTTGCACAGAAAAGTTTTGTGAGGAAAATATACTGGATAAAGAGATACAAGACATAGGTGTAACACGACAAAGATGAGCGAGAATGGAAAATAACTATAGAAGAGAGAGAGAGAGGGGGAGGGAGGAAGAGATAGAGAGAGAGACACACAGGGCAAGGATGCAGAAATGGGTTAGAGTGAGGAGAAGAAAGGGGAGAGAGGTAACATGAGAGAGAGAGAGAAAGGGGTAAAGAGTGAAGGAACAGAGAGAGGAGATAGATTTGAAATCTCTGATAAAAATGTAAAATGAAATCTCTTACTTATACACCAAACGCTGCAGAGCCATGTCCAATGTAATGAGAAGTATAAAGCAGTTACCTCTATACTTAGATCATTCTATGAATGTTCATGCATGTACATGTATGTGGCTCCAGACAACATGTAATCATAGCCAGCATGACCTTATCTACAGGAAACATGTGTAATTCAGAACTCTTGTTTCTTGCTTTTCCATGTGACTGTGATTATCAATTTCATACTTTCTATTCCTGTTTAACTGAATGTTTTCACTCTTCTCCATTATATTTGTCCTGAATGTTTTGTATTTTAAATGCATACCATACATGTATTTGTATGAAACCTGTAGAAGGTCAACCCCACTCTTATTCATTTTACATTCTTTTCTCTCTCGCTACCAGTCACTTCCTAACGATGATCGCTTCCTCTTTTTTACATCCCAGCCATATCATTTCATATTTCCTTTAAGTCCAATCCATCCATTTTATACAAATTTTGACAATATTTATATCCCTTTCCTTCCCTGTTTTGCTCTACCTGAGGCCTTTCTTGTTTCCTTGCCCTTTATCTCTCCCCACTCCTTTATACTTCTCATCCCAGATGATTAACAAGAGGCCCACACCACAGATACTGACTGTCAAAAAATATCAAGTAAAACATACTCAAAATGGTTGTTTGGTTCTTTGGTTACAAAAACTGATCCATAATTTATGATGTTTTTTAAAACCTTTGAGCTTGCTGGAAGCTACAAAGTAAGATGAAACAGACAACATCAACAAGCTGGAAAATATATCACTAAATATAATTTCAAAATGCATACAGTACGAGGGAACTAGGAAGGGTATGCCAAATTGCTTTAATAGTCTTGACTTTGTCACCTTTCCTGAAACACTGAATGACTGAGGGCCAAAAGAAAGTCAAGAACACTTGATCAGTACAATACCCCTTTATCTCTCCCTCTCTCTCTCTCTCCTTGCCCCTGGTAGTGACTCACTCACCTGCACTTCCTCTTGGCTTGCAAGAGACCGCAGCTCCTGCAGGAAAGGGAGGGTTGCAACCGGGGGATTTCCCTACAAGAAATGATGACCTCACCACCAGAACGTGGACTGTCCCTCCTCATGTTGGATAAAGAGCGCTCATGTTTGCGGTGCTGCAAGTACAAAGGTATGATGGATGATTCATAACAGTTGGAAATGGATTGTGATTACATCTTTCTGCAATAGGGTGTGGCATGATTACATTGCAGAATTAAGTTCCACAGCTGAAAAGGTTGAGTAAACTATTATAATCTCTTTGCAAATAAAATAAAATGTAACCTATGACATTTGGTGCAATGCATCTAGGTAATTGTAGGATCTGCATGAGCATGCCAGTGCCAATGAATAGGGAAACTAAAACGTGGTACAATATAAGTGCATTGTTAAACATATAGTTGGCCTCTCCATACTTGCCATGCATGCATGTATGTTTATACACAGACATATTTAGCTGCTTATAGAACTGTGGTTGAAATCTGAGAAAAGCGTTGGTGTAATACTTACTGTAATCCAGCGCTTGGTACTTGTATGTCCCACGGTAGCACCCGTAGCTAAGGGCCCATACACAGCTTCATCCCCCCTGGCAGCATGGCCACCACACCTCCTCCTGGCCCCGCCCTGCTTCTCCCCTCCCCTCTTGTCTGGCGCCCTCACTCCATTGCGAAGCAGACCAAAGACCAGGCAGACCACCGTGAAGGAGAGTAGACCCACGACGAAGATGGCCAAGGCAAAGGACTGGAGGTCATCAGTGGCCGAGAGAAGGTCAGTCAGTCCGGACAAAGGAATGAGGCCCTGGAGGGTGTCAAGCCAACATTGCTCCATGGCTGCACACTCACTAGCATTTCATACCTAGGAAGAAAGGAATAAATAATAATATAGTGAAACTTGTCTATAAAAACCACCCAATGGAGACAAAGAAATTGATCTTTATACACATGTAAACACGATGGCGAGGTCTGTTCAAAATAAATTTTAAAATGTGGTCGTCATAGTCAGCTGGTCTTTCTATACAGGTGGTCACTAAAGCAGGTTTCACTGTGATATATTACTCATCATCTTGTTTACTAAGCAAACCCTCATCAGCATCAATGTTGTTTTTCCCGAGGGCCAGGCAATTATTATTACCCGAGCAACAGCAAGGTACCCATTTAACCACCTGGGCGGAGAGTGGAAAATGTATAACAATGTCTTACCAAAGGACATTAGTACAGGGCTGGAATGTGAACCCTCTATCCTTGAATTGAGAGTCAAGTGAATGAACCACTATAATACCACAACAACTCCATAAGCAAGAATATTCATCATTGGCAGGCCAACAAAAGTTTGCTTGTTTTTAATCACCTCAAGTAACATGACTAATTAATCCTGTCCAGATATAGTAAATGAAAAAAATAACTTTAAAATGCTCAAACTTTTGGCCAAAGATTAAGTTGGAAAAAGTAAAAAATGGTTCTTTGTTTCTTTGTTTTTCAAACACTTGGAAAATCTTTTCTGAACGGTGAACAGTCTCTAAATGTTACACATTTTACAAAGTCAGTACCGGTAATTAACGATTCAATAAAGGTTTCATTTTAAAAAAAAAGCACATCTTACAATAATGAACCCACCATGCAATAACTCTACAAAAATAAACAGCATACACATCTACATGTACACAGTATACACAACTTGTGTGTATAAATCCCCAGAAGCCTTTAAAGTTGTCCTCAGGTATCCCCTTGGGGCTAAAATTTAGAGGGAGTGTGATCCCCTTCCTCTCTGTTTCAGGTCACCACAAATCTCTGATCCTTTGGTGATCTGGACCTGCCCACGTCACCTGGTCCATATTTAGACCCGGTTAGATTTCAGATAAGTTTACAGTAGGTTGAATTACACCTTTGCCTTTGACTCTATCATCATGGGGATACATACTGGACAGGTCAATCTCTTCTAGGGACGTCAGCAATGTACACAATACCATTTACACTGTACATGTACAGGGGTATGGCTACAAATCATGTACAATGTATGAAAATAACTCTCGGGCGAGGGGGGGGGGGTGGTGACTGTCCATGGGGGTAATTTTCTGGGGTTAATTGTCCTTGGGAGTAGTTTTCCAGGGTGGGGGGGGGGGGGGGGGGGGGGGTAATTGTCCCACTGGTTATGGACCGGGGGAGATTGTCCAGGGGGTTATTGTCCTAGAACCGACTACTGTATAGTAACTTTGAATACATGTTCAGCTGTGCAATGGTTTAGTTTTTGCACTTCATTTGTATATTCAAAGTGTCAAATAGTTTTACTCCCTTTCCCAGATTTCCTGATGAACTGGAACTCAGAAAATTGCACAAAAAGAGGCTTTTTTGACAGTTCAAACATGAAACTACATGTATATCTGCATGGTACACTCAGTCTCACACAGGCTACCTTCAATGTTATAATGATGCATTATTTAAATGCAAGTATTGTTGCAATCCAGATTTCAGCCTAAATTTGAATTGCCTATTTTATTTAATTTAATTTAATCTTTTTATTATAAATCTTTTTGTTGTTGTACTTTTCTCAGTAACACAAGTAAAAATAAATGAAGTAACACATCACTGTTTGTACAGAATGTCGATGTCCCAATTGTAAAAAAATAAAATCCTGAATGATCCAATTTAAGAAATGTCCAAAACAATATCCAAGATGATGTCCAAAACAGCTGATGTCAAAAAATTGATATGATCAATAAATATCAATTTATGAATGCACTTACTCAAACAATCTACTTACTCAAATGATGAACAATAAATCACTAAATCACTGATTCACCGATGAAGCTCTACAGCATCAGGTAGTTATGCTGACGGAATTCTGATTTGATTTGGTAAAACTGACAGCTTTTATATATATTCTCATGGAGAGATAAGAGCCTATTATTAAAAAGAGGACCAAAACATTCTACCTTACACCAAAACAAACAAATTTATTTGGAAGCTTCTGATATATGTGCTGTGTGATTCAATTTAGTTCTGAACATTGCAACATGCAAGAGAAGGGGGGAATTTCTTGGTGTACACGTACAATGAACAGGTACATTCATTGTAATAATCTGTTTATTAACAAGCCAAAGAATCAGGGGCATTCCCTTGGTCCAGCTACTATAAATAGCCATATTGTAATGGTTTTATGCTCTTTACCTCAACACAAATACTGTTGTAATCATTCCTGCATTAATAGGCAATTTACTTAAAGAAAAAAATTGGCCACCGAAAGTGAGTAGAAATCCTAAATTATTTGTAAAAGCATTAAAGCAAGTATCTTAATGAATTGAAGACTTTAATGAAATGATTAAAATTAATATTATACTTTATCGTTCTAAAATCCATTACTCTTAGAGGAATGCAATTGGCTACATTTCGACATTATATTGTATAATGGTAAAATTTACAGGTAATATGCAATGTCGGTCAACATTATGCACATACACGTACATGTATCTCCAATTAAAATACTGAGGAACAAGACTGAACTGTCAGTTGTGTTGAGATTGCTAAAGTATAATTAGTTTATCAACTGAAAAAAATAAACCTTCTGATGAGTATTAAACTTTCAGGGTATAATTTCTCACCCTTGAACCAAATAACACTAAAAATAAAAATAAGAGTAGTTTCTACCTGAAACTTACTTTGTAAATGTGTAATATATAAATATATTTCAAAAAATACACTCATCTTGGATCGAAGACAAACAATTTCAAACATGTACAGTACATGTACATGTAAGTCATCTTTATTCCAGTGAAAGAAAATCAAAAAACAAATTACATTAAAAATACCCAGGCCCTCTGCTAGAAGAAAATAATACTTTCTGATCAGGAGACCGGGTCACAGATATACATGTAATAACAAAATAACAAACACAAGAGTCAAAGAACCCAATACCAATTTACCAAACAAATAGAAAATACTGGAAAAAGAACAATAACAAAAAATGTATACCATCATCATCATTATTATAAGTAGTATGTATTGTTATGATTATATTACTATCATTATTATTATTATCATTATCACTATTGTAGACTATATATTAATGATAATAATGATAGTACCGTAACAATAATTATACTACTAGTGATGATGATGACGATGATGATGATGATGATTATGATGATAATGATGATGGTATAGATAATAATGATAATGATGATGCATGGTTATGATACTGCATGATGATAATGATGATGATGGTATAGATGATAATGATATGATGATGGTGATGATAATGCATGATGATAACGATGATGATGATGGTGTAGATGATAATGATAATGATGATGGTGATGATAATGCATGATGATAATGATGATGATGGTATATGATAATGATAATAATGATGATGGTGATGATAATGCATGATGATGGTATAGATGATAATGCATGATGATGGTATAGATGATAATGATAATAATGATGATGGTGATGATAATGCATGATGATAACGATGATGATGTTGGTATAGATGATAATGATAATAATGATGATGGTGATGATAATGCATGATGATAATGATGATGATGGTATAGATGATAATGATAATGATGATGATGGTGATGATAATTAATGCATGATGATAATGATGATGATGGTCTAGATGATAATGATAATAATGATGATGGTGATGATAATGCATGATGATAATGCATGATGATGGTATAGATGATAATGATAATAATGATGATGGTGATGATAATACATGATGATAATGATGATGATGGTATGATGATAATGATAATAATGATGATGGTGATGATAATGCATGATGATAACGATGATGATGATGGTATAGATGATAATGATAATAATGATGATGGTGATGATAATGCATAATGATGGTGATGATAATGCATGATGATAACAATGATGATGTTGGAATATATGTAGATGATAATGATAATAAGGATGATGATGGTAATGATAATGCATGATGATGATGAGGGTATAGAGTCTAGATTATATTGATAATAAGGATGATGATGGTAATGATAATGCATGATGATGATGATGGTATAGAGTCTAGAATATATTGATAATGATGATGAAGAATGACATGGATAATGTTATTGTTAATGTTATCATTAGACATTACAAAATGATACAGATCTACATGTAGATCTAAATAATAAATAATAATAACATGTTCTCAAATTCAGTCACTCAGATCATATCATGCAGATCATATCATGCAATCACGATTTCATTTTCACAACAACCATGACAAACATGACAAATGCATAGACTTTTCTAGGATGTTGACAGCCATTGGCAACAAGCGCAAGCTGTCTGTGTGATCGCTCAGCTCATCTCATCTCCCTCTCGTCTCAGTTCATTCCGCAAAGATTCTACTTCTACTTTTTCTAGTCTAAAGTCTTAGAGAACTATTGTAATAAAGAAAAGTAGCCTAAAAATTAACTTTTCATCTGCATAAAATTACATAAAAATACATTCTTTACCTTGTCATTTGCGCTAAGTTCAATGGAGTTCCATCAGCGTCCGCAGTCTCCAGCTGCAGCGCTTCCAGTGTAGTGGAGCGTTTCCAGTGCAGTGGTAGCTCTCAGATCATGATCAGCATGCATAAATATAGCGGATGCATGCAGGCCTGGCGCTGGATCTGGCCCGAGCTAGGGCGGCGGACGTCCGCGGTCTGTCGCCGCAGAGCATCAGCATTAAACAACGAGCGGACAGATTAAAATGAGTGAATAGCCAATTTGAATAGCAAATATTAATGATGACTGGTAAAAAAAAATATGATAAATTTTTAACTTATAAGAGATTATAAACCTTTTAAATATTTAAAATATTCTTTTAAAATATTTTTTGAACTACAAAAAAGCTTTTAAAAAGAAAAAAATGCAAAATATTTGATTGATATTCATACGGACAGCTCTTTGTTCAATATAAGAAGGAGGCTGTGTAAATATTTTGTCGGTTACTTCAGGTTTAATTTTCACGGAGGCGTGACCTTTGATGTTTTAAAAACATGTTGCGATGTGTGCATGGCTGGATCTCTCTTGAACTGTGACAATGGCGGCCTTCATGAGTTTTCCTGTGACTCGGACCCATGCCAAATTTTCAAGATTTAACTTTTCTATCGACCATAACTCTCTCCATCTTGGCATATCTAAGAGCGCTTCTAGTCGTTTTCTTGGAGATAAACTCGACAATTATGCAATTGTGTCTCTGATAACTGAACACGAGAGCTCAACTGCAGAGGACAGGGAACTTTTTGTTTGTTTACAGATTTTGGATGATGCAGTGGTGAGGAAGTCCATCTCACTTTCTCAAGTGTCAGAATGTCCAGATACTGTTACAGTCTATGCAACAGAAACATTTCATAAACACTACAAAATATTAGACCACGAAGACGTCTACATCAGACCTGTTAAAGCATTTCCTCTCACCAAAGTTGTATTTGGAGCAAGAACGAGCAGATGCTATGAATGGTCAAAGAAGAGGCTGTTCAGTACAGGGCTCCTTGTGTCGGCGTGTCAACAGAAGGTCTTAGTGCGGGCAAATGATAGATTTCTTGCACCTGTGATTCCGGTATTTAGTGGAGACGAGACGTACAGCTTAGCAAATTACATGGATCTGATTGCTTTGGAATGCGAGCCCGTAACGCAAGGAATAATTTCAGTCAACACTTCCATTGTGATCACAGATATGTCAAGTGGTGTGTTCTTCCCCGATGAAAGACGCCTGAGCTCAAGACAAAACAGAAATGAGAGAAGAGATGGTTCTGATGATGGAACAGTATCGCCTTGTTTTCAGCTACCAGAACCCCGCATCATGTCAGACTTTGCCCAGGGTCTGCTTGAATTTTGGGAGCACCATGAACTACAAAATCAACACTCTGATTCCGGCACAGCTGATGATATGTCTCTCTCTTCTGGAGCAACCTTTGACATCAACATGAACGGCGACCACCTGAACCCCTCGAGTCTGACTTTAAGACCAGTACTGATGCCGACATCTTCCGCCCATAGGAACGCATTTGGAAAAGGGAGTAGATCTGCCTGTAATTCATTCATCAGTGACCAATGTGAACTAGTGTATAAGCTTGGAGTGACCAAAGATACGCTTGATAGACTCCATGCTTACAACGGCAGCTGGGTCAAAATATCATTAGCAGGACATCCCTCTGAGACTGAAGAAGGGATTGATGATAATTATGTAGCAGACTTAGACAGCACTGTCATTGAAGAAGCTGCTGTCACCTCATTACCTAGACCAAGACCTGGTAACCTGGATCTCATTCAAACATCTACAGGTGTGTGTACCCCTAAGAACTTGCCTGTAAGGCCGTCAAAGCCACCTGTACCACAAGTCATTCATCAAACAGCCACAGATACACAGGATGTTGTCATAGATGCAGAGAGAGATGACCAAACAGAAGAGAAGACAATGGACCAACCTCCCCTTCCACCTCGAGAGGGTCATCAAGAACAAGCCCATCTTGCTCAAATCTTTGTTGTCAATCCCAAACTCTACTCAAATGGGGATAAGAGGAGCAAGAGAAATGGAGCCCATGTTCCTTTCAACTCTAATGAAGTTGAATTCATTGTGGAAGACGATTCAGTGGCAATATCCCCACAGCTTTGGTTTAACATCCAGGATCATCCTTCTCAACTCATACAACCAGATGCTATGGTTTCTGTAAAGGTAGTCTGTTAAAGGATATTGCTTGAAAAGTTTTGATGAAATGAAGTGAAGGAGAACTTTTAAAACTGACAAAATTGTTCTTAAAAAGGTTTTAACTTTATCAAGGGATTCTGCATTCACCGATGCTCAGTGTAGTTTAATATGTTCTTATTTGATTATTAATCAATACTTTCAGGTGATATAGAATTTGTAGGTGAAATGTTCACCTGGTGAATGATTCTTTGTTGTTCTTGTACATTTTAATTTACAAGCAACTTTCCCATTTGCAAATATTTTGTCAGAATAAATTACATTTTCTTTCTTGTCCAGTTTCTTTTACAAATTTCTATGTACAATATTCACTGATTTCATTTATGTTTGTCTAGCTTGCCACTGATGAACTAGAAGAATACTCAAGTATTCTGACTACATCACAGAGCATCACAACCAGCTGCAAGCCGCCCATTGCCACTGCTGTTCATCTCTCCCTCATCAAGTCACCACACTATCCAATGACCAGCCAGTTTGACGATGCAATCAAGAAGTACTTAACTGTCACTAGGTGAGACTAGGACCACACAGTAACATGGTTAATGTGATTGTCTGCTGAGATTGTGTGCCTGAGAGGCATAAGGCAAACTGAATCAATGTAACCCTTGGGTCTCTCCTTCCGGTATAACCGATTAGGGGTGTGCAGGAGTTAGCATATGAGTAAAGCACCCTGGGCATCTTTTCACGAAACTGTCATACATTGTACATGTAAGTACAAGTTCATCAACACCCCATTGAATTACTGATTAAATTTAATACATGCAATTCAATGGGATATCAGTGAACTTGTAGTTATGACAGTTTCGTGAAACGTTGCCCTGCTTGCTCTCAGCAGACCGGTTGAAGGAAGAGGCATACATACATGTGTAAAGAGAATGCGCCTTCATGACTTGCTCAAAACTGTACCAAAGTCTAATACTTAGGCATGCACCTAGTAAATCCCAGTCACACCAACGAGAATAACACCAGATGGACAACAGACCAATCAAACAATTACATTACCCCGAGTGGCAGAGAGTCTATCGGTTTAGAGTCGGTCTGGTGTCGGCTTGGCAGTGTGACTGAGGTATTACAAGTGAAGGGTACATCTATTTTTTAAACCTTAGCCATCTCTGCCAGGGAAGAAGCACCCTTCCACAGCATGGTAGATTTCTCTGATCAAGTGTCTTGTGAATCGTGTACATGAAGAGATTTTGTATTTAATGTTTAATGTTCTAGACTAAGGTGATTTATTTAACCTCAATTGAATATAATATATGTATGCATGTTTGAACCATCGTAATTACATGTATCTGACATAGAATAATCAGTGATTTTTACTAAATGCTGCTCTCACCATTCTAAATTTTATGCTTATAACCTTCTTTTACCTTTTTTTCTCCCTCTTTGAAACCCAACACTTTGCACAGGCTTCTTTCCACAGGGGATGTGATAAGCCTGAGCACCAGAGAGTTTCCTGAATTCACTCAGGAAGCTGGAGAAGGGGGAGGTCAGCGTCTGCCCAGCATCTACTTCCTGGTCAACAAGATTGTGTCGCCAGTGGAAGGAGCTTTATCATATCTAGTCAACGTCCTGCATACAACAGTCTATCAGGTTGGTGCTTGTTTATAAGAAGCCTGTGGGGGGGGGGGGGGGGGGGGGGGGGGGGGGGGGGCAAGGGTGACAAAATGCTATTATCAATACTTACAGGCATTTGGCTTCTTTAAACCATTCCAAAGCTAAGGGGGGGGGGATTTGACAAAAAAGCATTTGGTGATATGAGTTGGCTTTATCAAACTAAAACATTGCCAAAGGTCTGGGAAATAAATCATTGCCATTAGTCATTCACAGTGACAAGCTTTTTTATAGCAGTACTTTACATAACAAGTAGTTACAGTACGCTTTTACAGTTCAATTTTCACAAATGAGAGGCTTTCTTGAAATTTCAGGGATTTCTTATCTTTTTAATAAATCCAAAGAAATCTAACCCTAGTATTCAAAGGGTTGAATAAACCATATTCATTTGACTTATGGAGTTCGAAACAAGTGTGTCATCATCCCCCTAATATTTTTAAGAGGGGTGCCAGTATATGGATTTAAGATATCAGGACTTGAATTTGTGTTATATCAACATAATCAGCATATAAATGCCAATATCCTCTCTGTTATTGTGAAACATGATGTACAACACAATACCTTTTTCATCCAAAAAAGATAATGATTCTTCTATTAAACGCAGTTCTTGTTCTTGAAGTACTTCATCTCTTATCCTTGCTTCTGCTTCTAGGAGGGGCCAAAGCCTAGCTATATTCCAGTGACAGCAGACGTCTACCTTAGCAACAAGTTAGATCCCTTGTGGGCCTCTCCTGTCCCTGCAGGAATCAGTAGATATCCATTTCAACTGGAGCAACTCATCCTTCCTTTCCTTTTGGGCAGGTTTGTCATTTTGTTTGCTATTTTCAGTTATTTTGATCGATTAGCATATGTTTTCAAACTCAATAAAAAGTCAGAAACGGAGGATTTGCTTAATAATAATGAGGAATCAAGATTTTATATAGTTAAAATAGAAATAATAGACTGGAAAATTGCTTCTCAGGTGCCCTGGCCATTATTACTTTTCATGTTGTTGTTCTGTGATATTCTTCTTCTATTGTATTGATGTTCTTGTATATGTTGGGTTTTTTAATTGACAATAAATGAAACGAAAAATGTAATGAAATGAAATATTATGGAAACTCTATTTTGAACGATCATAATTTAAAGTCAGGAAAACATTTTTTGTTACTTTTTGATGACACATTGCAAATACCATAAAGATAATGGAGGATAAATAGTCTGTTGGCAGGTTAAACTTCACCTTTTACAGCAACTTTTATGCCAGGATTATTACAAAGATAGGCTACTTGGTTAAAACAAGGGGGTTCTATTCTAACTCTGGGGAGACCACTTTAACAAATATCTGGGTCTTTCTGAATTTTAGATTAGATTGTTGGGAGTCCCGCATCATTTATGTTTAATATTTCGTTTTAGAGCCCAGTGTGAAAGGCTCCCTGCTTCCATTCTTCTGACTGGCCCTGCTGGGTGTGGCAAAGTGACCTCAGTCAAAGCCGTCTGCCGTCAGCTCAACCTGCACTGCATAAATGTGAACTGCTACGATCTCCTTGCTGACACCTCTGCTGCTACGGAGGCTAAAATCAGGATTGCCTTTTTAAAAGGTATTCTTAAAAAAGGGACCACTATTTCACTTTTTATTTAGTGTGTTGATCAAATCGAAAGTGTTCTAGCTGAAGTTCTAAAGCAGGTGTTTATTTGAATGAAATGGATTTGTGCCATGTACAAAATTGCACAACGTATGATGGAACCAGAAACAAGAGAGAATGGTGAAAGTGTACAATATCATTGTCTTTTCTTGTTGGTATCTCCCTCTCCTCCGTCTCCCTCTTCTTCTCCATCTCCCTCTTCCTTTTTTCCTCTTGTTTTCTCTCTCTTTCCACTTTCATGCCTCTTCCCATCAACTGCAGAGCCTTTATGGTACACAAAATAGAAATGCCTGAGATATAAATTACATATTTTCCCATTGGAACACATACTGATGCCACATTTTGCTTTGTTTTGTTTGCCAGCTGGTATGAGTGTACCATGCATCATTCTCCTGAGGAACATAAATGCTATTGGCAGAGATCGAGAAGGTTCAGGAAACGGTATGTATTGTTCATGGAATATATACGTTTGTGCTAAGTAATATTTATCTGAGTAGAAAGACAATTTAGCCACAAAATTGTGATGTAATAATCATGACCCACATTCTTAAAACAAACTATTATTATCACAATCATGGTAATAAAATATATGCCAGAGAAACTATTGTAATGTTGCAAAATCAAGCATAATGCACTTATTCCTGGTTACATTTATACTATTTATTTTGGTATTTAAGATCGCGAAAATATATCTAAATCTGATTGCTTATTACCGTTGAAGAATCTCAACTTCGTTTTTGTTTTTCTTCCCATTATTTTGGTAGCTATTTTCTGTATATGCTTTATATGTTTCCTATATTGTTCATGTTGTGTACGTCTTGTACACTGTATACCCTGCCAGTGACACAGTTGTGTCATGGACCTGGGTTCAAATGTTTATACTTCTTTGTTTATTACGCTGAATAAAGATGATACATATATTAAAGCTTATGTAAACTGTTACAATTGTCTGTGTGAGAGGTGAGGAATTTTGTCTTTTGAATTAGAAAGATGTACGAGCAGATTAGAATAGTGAGTTATTTCATTTTATCTTAGATATAAAATGGATGTGGATGCCATGTGAAGTGTGTGCTCTAAAGGAGTTGTGCCTTAAATATGTGCTTTCAACTACTGATTTTACTATGTCCATCTTTTTATATGCATTTATATTGATACACAATTTTATGTATTTATATATTGAGTGAATGAATTAATTGAATTGAATTGATAGGTACACTGTATATTGATTTGCAGAATTGAATATATAAAGATAAAGGAGATTAAACTAATTTTGGTATTTCCTTCTTATGCATTATACACTTCATGCAGATGTATATTGTAAAATGTAAGGGGATCATGCAAAGATAATTTTGTTGAAAATATGCATGTGAGCTAAAAAGTCATTTTTGTCTTACCTGGGTAGCAGAGCAAGACATCTAGGTGTCTCTATTTCTGTTGTCATTGCTGTGAGGGTAGTTGTTGTAAATGTTGTTGTTGTCCATAATCATGATGTACCGGTATTCCCAATGACTATCTAGAGCTTTGAGGTAGATGCGATAGTAATGTAAATTATTCTGTGTCTGGCAAAAGGGTCAAATTTATTAACCTTTATGTCTGATTGATGCATGTTCAGAATACAATTTCATGCGTAGATGCAATCAAGGAATGGTCAAAACTTTGACATGCATTTTACTCAAAATGTATACACACTGTCTGCACACACACATAGCACTTCTGCTGGGCACATAGTAGTTGTGCGTTCTTGCCTGTATAAACTGTATTTCTGTCCCATGATTCATATTTGCACTCTTTCTGTTCATTTCATATATCAGACATGCGGGTAGCAGCATACCTGAAAGAGACCATCAACGGTCTCCATTCAACATACCCTGATTGGCCAATGGTAGTCATGGCAACAGCGCCCTCAGCAAAGCGTGTGACAGCCGACATTCAGAGCTGCTTCTTACACCATTTAGAAATGGAGGTATGGATATGTCACCATGGGGGCATGGAAAATGTCTTTCATGACATTTCATTTATTTAATTTAATCAGTGTTCAGGAGGTTTCTTATAATAACAATCTTCTTTTCATATGGGTACTAGTATACAAAATGTGTGATATGACCTTAGCTTTGTATTTAGAAACTTTTCATGCAGATTCCTGAAACAATATTGATTTATATGAAGTACTTGTTTTAGTTATCATTTCACGTACTAAGTTGTACATGTATATTAAAGGTATAATATGTCTTCTCTCCTTTTCTCTCCTTTGTTATTGTTTCTTCCTGCATTCCTTTGGCTATCTCTTTCTTATCTTAACTCTCATTCTCTCTCTCTCTCTCTCTCTCTCTTTCTCTCACTCTCTCCCTCTTACTGTGCTCTCTTTGTTCATTCTTCTCTTTTACTGTGTCTCCCTTTTCTATTCTCATTTGCTGTGTTCTCTCCCACATCCTTTCTCCTCGCCTGTTTCCATCCACTTTACTAGGTTCCTAACGAGAATGATAGATGTGAGATATTACAAGCCCTTTGTGAGAAGTTATCCTTGGCAGCAGATGTTGAGATCCCTCATATTGCTAAGAGAACAGCTGTAAGTATTGTCATTGTAAAAATATAGTACAAGACTCTTTCTGCTGGCAGTCTGTTAATCTGTTGTGAATACAGTCCAAATACTTGGGTTAGGGCCTATCAAAATTGAGTATTATACCAAGATCAAAAATTGTTAGACAAGTTTAAGAGTTTGCCAGTGGCTGTGTCTTCATCATGTATTGGGTTTTCTTTGCAGCAACTGCAAACTTGTAAGGTTAGATTTACATTTTCATATGATGTACATGTATATTGCATGGCAGTGGACTGTATGGAAAAAAAGGATTTTTAATTTTTTTTTTAAATTGTCACCTAATATCAGTGTGGTTAAGAGGCAACTTTGTTTCTAGACTTGCTAATCAGAACTCACATCTTCTCCATATTCCTTTTATCAGTAAACACTGCTTTCCCCATCCTCCGGGGGGGGGGGGGGGGGGGGAGTATTGTCCGAGATGAGCTTGTGATGCTTTATGCATATACCATCAGAGTGACACTTCCCGGGATCATGGCTGCTCTGTTGGAATTCACTTTCCTCCCTCCCCAGTCCAGAGGAAATTATTTAAATTTGCATTTTTGTATCTGAAACTTTCCCAATCCTCAGGGTATGATGCTATGCCAGAAGACCTTGCATCTATTAAAGGGGAAGTCCACCCTGAAATTAAGTTTGTTTTAATAGGAATAGAAAAATGAGAGAAAGTCAGTGAAAGTTTGAGCAAATTCCGATTAAAAATAAGGAAGTTAGGATTTTTGAAGTTGTGATCAATCAAACACAAATTGGCAACTCTATGACGTATCATGCGAGCTCAACTTCCATTTGCTCAGTACTAAAAAAATCTAAAATTTTCATTTTCCCTCAAGAAAAATTTCAACCATACATGCACCCTAAATATAATAATTGCAAATATGTTTCTATACTCCCCCTGCAAGGAACAAATATATATTCCGTCATCAATAACGAAGAAAACATGATTTTATGGAATATTATGCACAAAGCAAATGAAGGAGAGCTCGTATAATAAGTCACAGAGTTGCCAATTTGTATTTGATTGATCACAACTTCAATAATTCATAACTTTCTTATTTTCATTCAGAATTTGCTCAAACTTTCACTCACCTGATTTTCTTATTATTCTGCCTCTATCGAAACAAACTTATTTTGGGGGTGGACTTTCCCTTTAATGCCCCCCTCCAATATCAGGGCATAACTGTCTCTGATTGGGACAACTGCTCTGTTGGAACTCACTTTCCTTTCTTCCTCCCTAATGTTCAAAAAGAAACCTTTGGTTCCGAGAACTTTTGCACCAAAAAAAAAATGTCAACCATCCCTCTTGATCTGTATCTCTTCTCACTTTCCCCCTCCTCAGGGTATGGTCCTGGGTGACCTTGCGGCTCTCCATGCGCACACCATCAGAGCAGCACTGTCCAGGATCGTGGCAGCTTGCTCCGTGGGTAGCAAGTTGTCCATCCAGGAGGAGAAGGACATCTGTGGTGCCGGGGTACAGATCCATCAGAGTGACTTTGAGGTGGCCCTGAGCAAGCTCCAGTCTGCCCATGCTGACAGTATCGGAGCTCCTAAGGTATATCTCCGATCCTGTATCATCAAGTTTGCATTCTTGACAAAGATTCATTATTTTGATTCATTTTTTGGAAAGCTAAGAAAGCACTGGTCCAGACATTGTACAGCTTCAGATTATATCTCTATTTCTGGGTAATTGATTTGTGTGTGTATAAGTACATTTGCTTGTTCCTAAAACTGTGCTTGTCAGCTTAAAGCCCATCTGTACTAGTTTGGCCAGGGGGGATAAGACCTCCCTGCAAGGTCACTGGCAGGTGGTTTTCTCATCAAACCAGCTCTCAATTAACATAAGAAAAATGGGATCATGGGGGACCAACATGCACCAATTAGGCATGGTTTGCTATTTAGAGGGCGCAAGTAGCTACAAGTAGTGCAGTGGGGCTTTAAGGTCCCTTTCCTAGGACTCACATGAAGGTTTCCCACAGAAGTTCAACCATTTCCAAGGCATTTGCTGAATTTACTGAAGTCACTGGCCTAACCAGCGATCCACTTTAGTTAACATCGTCAGCTGATGCTCTTTTGCTTTACCAATCAAAATCACATCTTGTGAATACCATCTTGCCTTTTCCTATCTGTTGAAATCATCTGAATTGTATTACACATATCATGATCAAACATTTACATAAATGTAGGTGGTTAAAAATTCCCAAAAGTAGACATTTAACCTTCTATACGTGTATCTGGAGACCAAGAAACTGTCTTTCCTCATGAAATTTGAAAGTTATATATACCGAGTGAGTCAAAAAAAAGTTTACACCTAGAAAATTTCTAATCATTTTTAAAATCATCTATGAACAGTAAATTATTATACATCTTATGAAAGAGTGTTTTATCCCAAATCATTTGGTACCATTTTTGTGCGGTATGTGTTCATGCTTGGATGAACAGGTGGCATTGTTTGCGAGAGTGCAAAAATCGACTTGTATTATGTTGGGATTAGCGGAGTGAGAGAATGGATTGAATGTATCAAATGAAATGCATTGCATATGTTTTTTTGAAAAGGGCAAAGTCACACAAACCCACACACGTGCGCACAAATGTTCGTTGATATTTGTTATTCGATACTTGATATGTGTGGCATGATTAATTTTGTTAGGGATGTTATTTTGATCTGCAAAGACCGAGTTAATACCCAAATCCCAATTGTTTTATTCAAACATCACATAGGTAAATTTGGCGTGAGGTTGATGTTTGCACTCTCGCAAACAATGTCCCCTGTTCATCCAAGCGTGAACACATACCACACAAAAATGGTACCAAATGATTTGGGATAGAACACTCTTTCATATGACATATAACAATTTATTGTTCATTAATGATTTTTTTAAATAATTAGCAATTTTCTAGGTGTAAACTTTTTTTTGACTCACACTGTACATGTAAACGGTTTTGATTAAGTTCTCAAAGAGGACTTCAAGCCATCTGTTCCCTTGTAACAAGCTTTCTCAGCAGTGAGGTAAAAACAATCATCAAACATATCATAGAACTCTGTTGGTATGGATATGAACAAAGATGAAAGGATTCACAGCTCAGAATTGATATCTTAATGTGATAAGTGTTTGTATACTACTCATATATAAGTCTGTAGAAGTCAAGACCCTCTTTGTTAAAGATGTTCACGTATGGGTATATAGTTGTTCGTGAAGTAGGCAAGTTTGGCGATCACTACATACACTGAGCCAACGGGTATTACACTACCGTGCGTAAAAAAGTTGTGCTGCCCTGTATATACCCACGCATTGAGCGACTTTAATATATCAAAGTAGTTCATTCCTTACTGATTCAGTCTCACAACAACAACAACAAACCTTTAATTTCCATATGCTTCTTAGATTCCGAGTGTGAGTTGGGATGATGTGGGTGGTCTATCGGATGTGAAGGCCGAGATCTTGGACACCATACAGCTACCTCTTCAACACCCTGAATTGTTTGCTGCAGGACTCAGAAGATCAGGTCAGTTCAGGCTCTTTATCATCTCAATACAAATTCCAAGATAAGGTGGGCTGCAGTCTATTTAAAATGTGTGTTCTATCTAAATCCAATTGTATCCAGAGTTACAGATAATCTTTAGTTCTGGCTTGAGAGGTTGAGGTTGAGAAGGGAAGAGGGATTTTCATTCCCCCAATATATCAAGTTTTATCCACTAAATTTTAGTTTATGTTTTTTTAGGATCTACCATTTTTTCTGGGATAGTGTACTATAGGTGCTAAAATTGGTTGAAACAATATTTATGACCTCTTCAAATGTATCTGAAAGTTATCGACCTGTATTCTTGAATGCCACCCTATGAATAAACTTGACCTGGTGTCATCCTCATCTGAGTGCCCAATGTCAACTCTGATCTTGTGCCCTGTACAGATTCTCATAATTCTATAACTAAAAGAAGGTATAAATACTTTCCACTATGAAATTACTTCTCTTTTTCATTTCATGACAAAATTAATTGTGTTTATATTTTGTTACACAATAGTAGCGGTTCATATGGTGTGTAGGGATTGACTCTTGGCCTTCCGTGCATCAGGGGACTAAGTTAGCAAGTATTAACTTGGGTAACTTTCAAGATTATGGGCAATTAGCTTTTCTTCTTTACAAGAAGACCTGATTAGGGTGAAAATCTTTAACAACTGTTTTATTTCTGATAAAGGTGTCTTGCTGTATGGGCCACCTGGAACAGGGAAGACGCTCCTAGCCAAAGCTGTTGCTACAGAATGTTCTCTCAATTTCCTAAGGTATGAATGATAGTCGAAAGAGGGTTCTGTGACACGTGCTCCTGCGACAATCGCTCCACAGACAGTTTCCTGCACTAAACAAATCTACTTGAAGCGATTTTCCATCTTCAACTCTGCCCCCAATACTACATGTAAACCTAATCTTAAAGGAGAATGAAAGTCAACATATAATAATTGTGCATTTGAAAAATATAGTATCAGTCATTTGAAATCACTAAGAAAATCTAAGATCTTGTTCATCATTTTTTGATGAATCAAATTACAATAGGTCATTTCATCAAGATCCTACCGGTGTCATGACGTAAATGCGCTATGGATGCATGATTGCCCAACTATATCAATCATACTTATAAGTACCGGTATCCCTCCTTCCTTTTTTGTTGGTAGTTGTCCATACCCACACCTACCCAAATAAGTTAAAACTAGCTTCTTTTAAACTTTTTCACAGATGAACCTTAAATTAGGGATACTAACATTGTTGTTTGAAAATGTAATTTTAAATGTCCTCTACATAATGATGTAGGTTAGGCGCCTTGGATTAATTCTCATGTGCGAGAAGCTGCACCTTATTAACCAGAGAGCGCATGCATCAAAGCCGATTGGGTTCATCCCGGATGCACGATTTGCCCACGAAAAGCTGCATTGTGTGTGTCCGAAGATCGTGACGTAGTTTTCAAGCCAGAAAAACTGCGATTAATTTTCAACCCATTGAAAGATTCGTCATACTTGTTTAGCTCCCTCTGCGGCTAAACTAAGTTATTTAGCTTAGCTTGAGTTCGTGTCTAATTAGCGCTGTATAATGCATAATGATCCATTCCAAATATACATATTTGGAATGGATCATTCATTATGCACAATAAAAACACCGTTTAAAAGGGTTGTTTACAAGTAATAAGACCTTTTTAAAAAATTCAACAAGTTGTTGTATTGTAATGAACTGTTAGCATTTTAAACAATTACGTTTTATCTGTGTATATATAACCGAATGAATTTTTAAAAAATAGATTTTTTTCGGGGAGGTAACTTGGAGGTGTCAATCTAGACACACGGGTTATGGGAGCCTCATTCAAATTTAATTCTCCAGCAATTAATAGACATAAAGACTAGAGGTTTTTTTTCTCTCTCGCCGGTATAAACAATTGCATGCTGGCCATAAAGCCAATGTGTTGATTCATGAATTCTTGTTTGGAGACTATGCTATTCCATTGTCATTTAACTCATAGAGGCAAAACACATTTTACGGAAGGTTTTAAATATTATTTGTTTCTTTGAACTTTGTATAAAGCCCTCTCCAAAGAAAATATTTTCTCTTGCTTCTGTTTATCTCTTTTCCTCCCTCTCTTCTCTTTCACTCTCCCCACTCTCTCTTTTGTTTCTCCACTGGCCCCCATTATGGGTGCAGTCTTTCTCCCTATCCACATTCTGCCCCGTGCCCTCCCCCCCCCTCCCCCGTACGCTAGTGTTTCTCCGGCTTATTATTATCATTATAATCATCATCATATTATTATTATTATCATTATTTAGATGGGTAGGGTGATGAATAATGAAAGGAAAGCAATGAATTATAAAAATTCGTTTATAATCGTTTAAAAATTTGGGTTGGTTTTACTCTTCCATTCAATAAATCTCATTAAAATGTGAAAACTGCACTCATTATACATTTTTTGTCTTCCTCCCTCCCCAAGTATACTACTGTGTCTCCGGCTTTTTGTTTTTGTTGTTGTTAGGTGGGGGTAATGGAAGGAAGCTAACAAATCATTGATTGACATTCGTTTAGAAATTTGCGTTAATTTTGCTCACATCACAAACAAAAATCTTATTAGGATAAATCAATACTCTTGCACAAGATTCAAGATTACGATACTTTATCTCTCCAATCGTGCAAAATATAAACTAACATTATCAATTGCTCCTGTTTGTTGTACTTTCACGTTATTCATTATAATCGTTTTTTTTCTTCATAAGCATGTCCATTTTTCTTTCACATGAAATTCTGATACTGCTGGTACTTCATTGGGAGCAGCGTAATCCGCGCTCGCCCTGAAGAAATCTCATGACGGCAAGCACCTTAGTACCTCATAATCCGCCCTTCTATTGTTCGAGTTTATAACCATGACAACGAACTCTACCTTTGGCCAAGTTCATTGTTCCTCTTAAGTAACATAGATGTAGATAGGCTTCATACATAACTCTTTTCGTATAATCATTCTATATACTGGTAGTTCTAAAATGCTTTCAAATATTTTGTGTCGTTTTTGTTTGACTTTGTCAATTTACTTACAAACTATTATAGTCAAAATTTGCCAATATCACCAAACTATTACGTTTTCCCTATCATCTTCCGCTCTAGAATACTATTATTTATTTATTTTTATTTGTTCGATCCTTTTCACATTTTTCTTGTCTCTCTCTCTTCAAGATTTCTTCTGTTTTTGTAAGGGTATTTATGCTGCTAATTTTTTTTTCAGTTGCGCGGGCGGGCGGGCGGGCGGGCAAACATTCCAGAGGGCTCACCCTCCAGGGGCTCATGTCTTCTCACCCCTAATAAAAACACACATGCACGCCTTCCCATCCTCTCGCAATAATACACAGGCGCACGTTTACACTTCATACAACACTCGTACATAATTATATACACACGCCCTTTTTATATTTGTTTTTATTAAACACATGTAATATAAAACCTGCAAGTTAAGGTTAAAAAGTTTGAACGCTTTATGATCATGATCATCATTCTTCAGTGATCACCATATTATTATATGGAAATAATATTTAGATCATGAATGATTATGTTAACCGTTAATTATACCCTGTTCATGACACTGTTAATAAATATCATGAATAAATCAAAACAATGTTTAGATACTGTTAATAATAGTTTCCCCTATTTTCAACAGATAGGTGAAATTCAAATTCTAGTATCGCTTCAAATATTTATGTTAACAATAAATTTTAACATGGATATTAGTTTTTTTCAGGCAGAAAGAAACTCAAAAAAAGATCTTGCATTGGCATGTGAGTGTATCATTATAATTATTCATATTGTTTTATCAATTCTTGTGAAATAGTATGCATTTAAGCTTTTGGAGCTTTGTTGGGAGTATTTGTATGAAAGAAAGCGTTATTAACTAATAATGCACATGATATGTATGACTTGATATTGATCGCGATCACTTTGCCATTCAGTCAAGTAATGAATAATATTATAGAAATTCAAGTATTTATTATGTGTTTCTGTTCAAGCTTGTATTATAGAAAACAATATAGTATAAAGAAAATACAAATTCAATTCATTATGTCTGTACGATGAACATAGTACAATCATAATCTAGTTCAAGCACAGCGTGACCAAAGAAAGTCATTATATTATTAGTATATCTTATGAATATATATATTTGTGTATATTAATTATTCATGTATATTTATACACGTAAGTGTAAATACTTGAATTTGAATTCAAAACAAATTGTTCATAGTATTCGGCAATAATGGTCATAAACTGACTTGCTAAACAATAAGAACAACAACAGCCCATTCACCGTCCTGTTTGTGTGTGAAGATGGAGCTGGGGGATTATTCCAATGAAAGAAACAATAGCCGGATTATCTGAACTACGGTCTGCCCACATTGCATTAGCTTTGTCATGATCTGCAGTGATCTGCAATGTTTTGTATGCATCCACTGAATACTAGCTTCAGGTGTTTGTATCCCGGAAAGGGGGGGGGGGGGGGGCACTGTATCCAATGACCGGGTATTTTGTAACGCTTGTATTAAAGGGATAGTTGAGTTCTGTTTTCAGACCGCAAATGCCTTCAAAGTGCATGGTTATTGCTCTTATTCTTATCTACATGTATGACATTTATAGTGCCCTGTTAGAACCTAAAATTGCTATGGAGGTAATTTTAGACCCCAAAATGTGTGAAATTTAGCCAATACGATACCAATCCAGCTACACTTTTAAAAAAAACCATGGCGACCGTTAATTATTTTTAAATTTAATGGGCCAGCTATTTGTAGGTAATAAAAGCAACACGAAAGTGCCAACAAAAAGGCCAACATATCGGCATTGGCTGAAATACGACGTAAAAGGCGTTATTTCATTTTTTCAACGTTTTTTTTTCTTTCTCATCTCTCTCTCTCTCTCTCTCATATCTCTCTCTTTCTCTTTCTCTCTCTCATCTCTCTCTCTTTCTTTTTCTTTCTCTCTCATCTCTCTCTCTCTTTCTCTCTCTCTCATCTCTCTCTCTCTCTTTCTCTCTGTCTCTCATCTCTCTCTCTCTTTCTCTTTCTCTCTCATCTCTCTCTCTCTCTCTTTCTCTCTCTGTCTGTCTGTCTATCTCTCTCTTTGTCTATATCTGCCAATGTCGTTTTCCATCTTCATCTTTCATATTGTTTTCTATTCCGCCACTTGCTTGCAATATAATATAATGAAAATACACATTCAATTCATTCTGTCCGTATGATGGACATAATCATAATCTATTTTAAGCAAAGCGTGACCAAAAAATGTAATATATAATTATATATCTTAAAAACAAATATTATTTAATATATTATTCATAATATACACGCATATTATGTGAGTGCATATACGTAAATTAGAATTAAAAAAAAACTTGATCATATTATTCGGCAAAAATGGTCATAAACTGACTGACTTTCCTATTAACAACAACAACAACGACAGTACATTCACCGGCCTGTTTGCGTGAGAAGATGGAGCGGGTGGATTATTCCAATGATAGAAAACAATAGCCGGATTATCTGAACTACGGTCTGCCCATTTTCATTCGCTTTGTTATGATCTGCAGTGAAAAAGCAGGAAGTCTATTCATGTTTTGGATTTTCGAACCCATCAGCTGCAATGTTTTGTTTGCATCCACTAAGTACTAGCTTCTGGTGTTTATATTTCATCAAGAGATTAAGAAACATTCAGAAGAAGCTAAAATGAACGGAGATAAGAATATTACAGTACAATAATAATTATAAGAAGTAAAACTTTTGAATATAAATCTCTGTTGCATCAAACTGATATGACAAAAAATGTTTATTATGCTAAGTATAAATGTGTGATAAATAATTGTTCTTAATAAGTTATCCCTTTGAGGAAGGGAATCTGAATTCTGACCCTAAATAGTTTGAGAGTTAAATGGCCTATAGAGGGCAGTCAACTGGTATCAGTTGAAATCATTATGAGTAGGTCGAGTTCTGTTCTGGATTCGTTGGAGCGTACGGTCTTTTATACGGGATTTACGCACACGTTTTTTTAATAGAGGGTTTCGGACGATTGGCTTTCACGCAAACTAGGCCACGTTGCATAAAGCCGCGTGATTACTGCCACTCGAATTGATCCAAGGCGCCTTACAACGAAGGGTTTCATTCTCCTTTAACACTTACCAGGAATCTAGACCTGACCTAAATCCTAGTTACGTATGCAACCCCAAACCTATACTGGTATGTGCATCTTTGATGAAGTAAAGCCCAGAGCCAATGTTGCCAGAGCAAATGGGACATGGCCTTGAGATAAAGGGCTTGTCTTATATTTTATGGCTTCTACACTTCTAATGAAGTAATAGTTACGAGTCATGCTGAACAACAACATTATAGGCAACAAACACACTGAAGTATGTGAATGATCACCACTGTTTTTTCATACTTTTGTATTTGAGCTCATTAGTTCCTTATAATACAGTGTTCAAGATTTCATATTTTTTTGCTGTATGTCTGTTATCTTAATGACAATTTCTCACTAGTAATTTAGAGAGATATTATGCGGATGGAAAAAGGGTGAACATCAATGAACTGTTGAAAATTTAAGTTTAAGAATCGTATCGTATGGGAATTTTTCACCCATCAACCAAATACCATAGTGCCAAAATGTACTTACAATTCTGTGGATATTAGATGAGTGACATTGCATTGACCTGTGACTCATTAAAAAATCTATAGTTTGATTTTGCTTTTCTTATGCAACTATTTTACCTACAATTTTTTAAAGCACATTTACATAGATAGAAGATGGTGATCATCAAAGATAGACAGTCGCTGAACTCTGAATGAAGAAGAGAGAAGAAAATTAAATGACTGCCATGTTTACTATGAGCTTTATAAAGTCATATTTGTGTTTCTCTTTCTTCGCAGTAGGCAAAGTGACCCCCCCCCCCCCTCCCCCTAAAAAAAAAAAAGCCTTCCCAGTCCCCAAAAAGTTTATGAATATGATTTTATCCTAAAAATTTAAAACAGTTTTATTTTCTCTATATTCATAGTGTGAAGGGGCCAGAGCTGATCAATATGTATGTTGGACAAAGTGAAGAGAATGTGCGAGAAGGTAGGTGGTCATTTCTATACGTGTACTACACTATTTGTGTGTGTTTACTGACCAGCAACAAAATTCCCTCTATGTTCAGCAGTAGCTGATTCGCTCATTGAATTATGTACCATATTTGTTGATTTGCACAAGACAATAGCACAGTGTATAATTAATGTCTAGTCGTAACAGTATATTAGCTGTAGCACGTCTCTCCTGTCATCCATAGGATGAGGTATGATTGAAGTTATTTCACTTTGATTTGACTGCCTTTATCAAAATGCCCTTTTAATTAAGAAACATAATGCCCTCCACAAGGGATATGCTCTTGAGTAGGAGATGTTGAAAATGTGATAATCATTTCAGCTTACCTAACAGCCAAGAAATAAACTACAAGTACACGTAGTTAATTGCCTGTAGCAGACCTGCCAACCAGTACGATTAAGTTTCGTACAATTCTTAGAAGCAAATACGACAGTACGATTTTACTCAATAAAATACGATTTAAAAAAAAACAAAAAAAACATGATTTTTTTTTTTTTTTTAAATTTTTTTTAATTTTTTTTAAAAAATAATAATAATTTGTGTGTGTATGTACCATTTTCAATGGCAAAATGCACATTCTGTCCTGTAAAGTGTCCTTCAAGCATCTCACATCGGCAATTTGATGATGTTCATTGGTTCATCGAACACAACAGTCATGATGAAATATTTAACATATTTAACCAATGATCCATTAAAAAATTTCTTCCTGTATGTAGGAACGGTAAGAGGCATTGATCCGCGTAACAGTACGTGTTTATTTTTAAGAATACAACTTTTGATAGTAAAATACAACTTTTGGGATTGAAGAATACAGTTTTTGAACTCCAGAGGTTGGCAGGTCTGCTGTAGGCAAGCACCCAGTGGACCAACAGCTTTGAGGCCGAATTTGCCACGGAATTCCTCCAATCAGATCCAGAAAGAAGATCAGTGGAGACAAACTGGTCCATCATTGTCAACTTCTTGAACAGGTGTTTGTCTGAGCTTATTCCTTCCAAAATGAGCAAAGGAAGGAAACATCTTCCTTGGATTACTCCTCCTTTGAAACGCCAGATGAGGAAGAGAGATAGCCTATTCAAGAAGGCACACAGCCAGTCTTGCTCCACAGCTTGGACAGCCTACCGACAATTCAGGAACCAAGTTGCCAAGAATGTGCACAGAGCACGTTGTGAGTACGTCAACAACATCATCGGGGCAAGCCTTAAGAACAACCCAAAGTCTTTCTGGTCTTACATCAAGACATGTCGTTCTGAAAACATTGGTATTCCTACCTTGCGTACTCCATCTAAACTATGCGCCTCAGCATTAGACAAGGCAGAGACACTGAACGACTACTTCCAGTCTGTCTTTACTCCCCACCAGCTCCAACCTCTTGTACAGAAAGGACCTTCTCCTTTTCCAACTATTGGTCACCTGCATGTTCACAGGACTGGTGTCGAGAAACGCCTCCAACAACTGGACCCTTCAAAGGCCAGCGGACCTGATGAACTTCCACCCAAGCTCCTAAAGTTGGTAGCTCGCGAGATTGCTTCTCCACTGTCCTTCCTGTTTCAACAAAGCTACAATAGTGACATCCATTCCAGCCCAATGGAAACAAGCACTGGTTACCCCTATTCACAAGTCGGGAGAAAAGTGTGACCCCTCCAACTACAGACCGATCTCACTTACCTGCGTTTGCTGCAAAGTCATGGAACATATCATCCTGAGCCATGTGTCGAAGCATGTTGCAGTGAATAATATCCTCACTGATGCACAGCATGGCTTCCGACGAGGGTTGTCCGACGAGGGTTGTCAACAACCACTCAATTGACAACAGCCGTCCACGACTGGTCCTCCATCCTACAGCAGCGTAGCCAAGCTGATATAATCTTCTTGGACTTCAAGAAGGCATTTGATCGAGTACCACACCTTCTCCTGTCAACCAAACTTCAGTACTATGGAATAAGTGGTGACTCACTCCAGTGGATAATGTCTCTCCTCACTGATAGACAACAGGCAGTCGTAGTTGATGGATCCAAATCAACATGGAGGGATGTAACATCTGGAGTCCCCCAGGGATCCGTCATCGGCCCTACCCTCTTCCTGTTGTATATCAACGATATCCAAGACAACATCCAGTCCACAATGCGTCTCTTCGCAGATGACAGCACCCTCTATCGTGAGATTCGATGCCCTGAGGACCATCAAATCCTAAAGGACGATCTCCAACAGCTGTCCAGGTGGTCTTCAAACTGGATGATGGACTTCAACGTGAAAAAGTGCGCTATCCTCACCATCACACGGAAGCGTACTCCCAGCATCCGAGAATACCACCTGTCAAATGGACTGATTCCGAGAGTGAAAGAGTACAAGTACCTTGGAGTAACGGTTGCTGCTGATCTCCGTTGGAACAAGCACTGCCAAACCATCCGGCATAAAGCAAGCCGTACTCTAGGTCTTCTTCGCAGGACTCTCTCACCCTGTACCAGGGATGTAAAGTCCAGGGCCTACACAGCCTTAGTGCGCCCCCAATTGGAGTATGCCTCAGAGGCTTGGAACCCACACAGCGTCACGGTCACAAAAATGCTAGAGCAAGTACAAAGAACAGCGGCTCGCTTTGTGTACCGTGACTACAGATACACCACATCACCATCAGCTCTTGTGGCAGCTCTAGGGTGGGACACGCTTCACACACGTCGAATCCTCGACCAATGCACCCTTCTCTACAAGATCCATCACCGACTTGTCTCCATACCTGCACCAACTATTGTTATCCCTGCTACATACTTCGGAAGACATGACCACAACCTGAAGTATGTAATTCCTGTTGCAACTATCGACTCCTTCAAGTTCTCATACTACCCAAGAGCAATAAGGATCTGGAACCATCTGCCAGGCTCAGCAGTCAATGCAACAGGAATAACCAACTTCAAGGAGGCTGCTCTACCCTCCATCAGAATGATGCAGCCCCCCGTTGGTTCTCACATCATATAAGCCTACTAGCTTGGTTTTTACTTGCACTGGACTTAGCATATTTTACTGTAAATTGACAAGTGCTTTGTCCACACACCATTCCAGCAATTCATGACACTCCTTGTAGTCACTTGCCTCACCTACCATCCCAGTATAGCTTCCTGAGTGAGCTGCCAAAGGGATTACCCAACCAAGTACCAAGTCCTATCTGAGATACTTGGTAATGGAATGTTAATGCCATATACCAAAGCAAACTACATTGACTCGATATCAAGCTAGGGCACAACCAGTTACGATACCACCGTTCCTCCTCTGAGCCATTGAATGGATGTGAAAGAAATCAAATTGATTTGAACATTCACTAATGATTAGATGCACAGGACTGCATGTTCAAAGTAAATGAGTAGCCTCTTCAGACAATCAAGGTTAAGGAGAAAAGTATGTTCATTGATTCATCATGGCATTGAATTTTCATGGATTGGACATTTCTTTCTTGCCAACCCAAGGCTTTTTTCATAGGGGGGGGGGGGGGGTTGAGATAATTTAAGTTTTAATTTTTAACATGGTCCTTTTTAATTTAACAAGGGTAGCCACATGAGTATTAGTATCTCTTCCTGTGAGTTCTGCAATTATTATTACTCCAGCATTGGGTCACCCCACTGGTACCCCTTTGGTGCACCTGGGAAGAGAAGGACAAATGTGGGCCAAACTCCTTGTCAAAGAATACAAGCACTGAGCAAGGATCAAACTGTAGGCCTCTCATATGAGAGCTAAGAGCCTTTACCAATGTTCCATAGTTTTGATTTATTGGTGCATTAAGACCCTGTTTGATTCAACACACAAATGTATGGGTCCTAGTGTTCCATATATCTCTGTAAGTGTCAAGCCCTTGAACTTCAACATTAACAGGTAATTCACTAATCGAATGGAACATTATTGTCTGTTTATGCAGTGTTCATACGAGCGCGGAGTGCATCACCCTGTGTCATCTTCTTTGATGAGTTGGACTCGCTAGCACCCAACAGGGGCCGGAGTGGAGACTCGGGAGGTGTCATGGACAGGTAACCACTAGTCAACTAGCAGTATCTACTTAATTTGTTTGTTTAATTTTGGTTGTTGTTGAAACATTTTCAGTAGTAGCAGTAAAGAAGTAGTAGTATAAGATGTTCTAGTCACAGTTGCTGTATACAATAGTAATAATGATAATAATCTGGATTTATATAAAATACCTTTCCTAAGCGCTTTACAGATAGTATTACCCTGGTTATTAGATACAGTCATGCACAATGGGCACCATCTCCACTATCTGGGGAGCAGTCCTTCCATATGGTCACCGTATGGTCATAGGCAATTACTAACAAAAATGCTTTCGTCATCCTACCGAGTCCCCATATCTCTCTTGGGTATTGGGTGGCAAATGTAAATTGTTGCCTTGCCAAGGGACATTAATGCCGTTTCGTGGATCGAACCACGACCTTTGATTTTCAAGTCAAGTGCTTAAATCGCCTACGACACTTCCGCTAGTGTTTAATTACATATATAGTCAAACAAAATGCAGTAGTTGTGGAAACTAAAGTAACTTTTAAATTAACTGACATGTTATGCATCTTCTCTGGTTTACAGGGTGGTTTCTCAACTGCTTGCCGAGTTGGATGGACTCCACAAGTCAGCCGATGTCTTTGTTATTGGCGCCACCAACAGGCCAGACCTCCTCGATCCAGCTCTTCTTAGACCAGGAAGGTATGTTAAAGCCCCACTGCACTACTAATAGCTACTTGCACCCTCTATATAGCAAACAATGCCTAATTGGTGCCTATTGGTCCCCCATGATCCTCTCTTCTTTTTATGTTAATTGAGAGCTGATTTGATGAGATAACCACCTGTCAGTGACCTTGCAGGGAGGTCTAGTTCCCCCTGGCCAAACTAGTACAGATGGCCTCATAAATGCATTTCTGTGAATGGACCATAGAAAGGCTTGTCAACATGTGACCACTGACGTAGTCAGACCACAGCAGTGTTTTGTATTAACCCAAGGGCTACTGAAACAGGATGGGTCATGTATTAAGCCTATGGGAAACAGAGAATTTGGGAGTCAAGAGGTTAATGTGTAAAACAATGGCAAGTGGGGATGGTAAAAAAAACTACCTGTGCACAACGAAGGTCCATCATGTACTCACAATTTGTGTATGTTGTGAGATACAGAGATGTTAAGTGCATCGTGTCATTATACTGCACCCCAGTGATGTACTGAGCCATATGTGAACAAGGCTTAATTCTGTATCAATAAAATGTGAATACCGTAGTTAAATCAAGAATGAGCCTCTCTATATCACCATTAAAAAGACTACTAAGTACACAATTGTGAACAGTCGGGTTGCTTTGAAAAAGTACAAAAAAGTTTTGAAGTAGGTCAGTGAGAAAGTAATGACTTTTTGGAAAGTTGAATGCATTATGCGTTATGAAAGAGGAAATATCAGTGTGTTGCACTTGCAATGAGATAAAATAAAGTGCGATGGGATGGTAATGTGCATAATTAAAACTGCATGAATGTGGAGAGTGAAGTAGGCTCAGCACTCTGACATGGTTTAAAAATGCTCAAAAGTGAAGCTCATTAAAATGCCAGCATCAAGTACTAAATCTGGGTCATGGTATTGTCTCTGTATCACCAATAAAATTACATAAATTACGAGGGTTCAGTGACACAAAGATGTAACTCCATATTTTGCCAAAATGAGTATTTGATATCAAAATGTTCAGAAAAATGTGGGATTTTGAGGAAACACAAAGACTTAACTCCACCCAACACCCCATCGTAGTCAATGGCTAGTGAAACATGGACTGAACTCCTGGCCTAAGTGCTCAGTGACACATAAACCATTTTTTCTCAAAATGGAGTTACGTCTTTGTGTCACTGACCCCTTGATATGTGAATCATTTCTTGCCATCTGACATTTATCAGTGAAGCCACATAAGGTTAATGATGTAGAAGAACGATTAACAAAAAGTGGCATAAGAAAACACAAGATGATAGGGGAAACCAACAAAGAATATCGTTATGATTACATGATGGAATGAAACAAATAAAATAAAGAGGGAGGGATAGATAATATCAAATTTCTTTTTCACTAAATGTTCCCCCTTACAATGTATAAAGCCGATTTGAAGAAACCATTAAAAAAAATTGGCACAGCGAGCCGTGACCCAAGTGTTTTTAAGCGTGCCGTGACCCGATTGTTTTAGTAAAAGCCCTTTTCCCAATAGACTGTAGTGTTGCACAAAAACGTTCACTTGGGAAAACGGTTTTTTGAAATTTCGAATTCCAATAATGGATATCATAATATTCAAACACGAGATTAGCTTGTAAAAGTTATGGGATTCGTTTCTGACCTAAAGGTTTATAATTATAATTGCAGCATGAGCTAAACCTAGGATTTTGTTTTAAATCAGAGACAAAGTCACCCAATACTTTAGGCCATTAAAAAAAATATACATGTTTAGCGTCCCCGCCCGCTTCCTTTTTGGGGGCCGCCTCTTTTTTAAAAAAATTTTTGTTAAAAGAACAAAAACATGAAGAACACTGCTAAAATGGATGTATTTCTGATTTAAAAAAAAAAAAAAAAAATGTCGGCTGCCATCTTGAAAAATAGCCCGAATGTCAGGGAAAATGTACCGAGCGGCCATTTTGAAAGAAGAAAAAAAAAAAAGGGCCTCCTCCTTCCTATTTTTCGTAAAAACAGGACGCTAAACATGATTTTTTTTTTATTTGGCCTTATGAAGCAGAAAAGACGTCAGAACTAACCTCAAATGTCAATCAATAACGATATTTTGTTTCAGTCCTATATTAATTTCAATTGTTATAACGTAAATCCTTGTTTTTGAGGTATGGGATTTGGATGGTTTCCAGGTAATGATTTCTGCTGACATTTTAATAAATCACTCAGTTGATTTTCAAGAACACCTATGACATCACAGCAACATACATTGGGGGGCGGGATGTATCTGCCCATATCTATATTTGCTAGGAGTTAGGAGCTAGGAGTCTTGGGTAGCATAGTGAAACGTAGTAGCATGTAAAGAGAAGTCCTGAAGGCAAAATGCATATCAGTAATAGTGTTTGTTAATTAAAAGGTTTTTTTGACATACCGGTACCTAAAATTATCAACACGGTATATGCATTTACCAGCTCCATATTCTAATGATGTAGTTTTACCTCTGTGTGATAAAATTTGATTCTCAAAAATCATGCAGTTTGTGTTCCAGACGCTTCTTTCAGTGCCATGATATTTCACTGAGATACCATATACCATATACATCTTTTCATACTTAGTTCATATAACACTGGTTACCTGGAAGTGTTGAAATTCTCCCTCTGCATACAGCCAAAATAGGAAAGAAAAAAAATGCTATAGATCGGTGAAAGTTTGAATAAAATTGGAGGAACCATAATTTTGAAAGTTGTGATCAATGTATTTCTATACATTTTGAGTATTACTCAAAGAAAACAGCGCTTAGGAGAAAACAGAGAATACTTCATATTCCACTGGCACTGACTACATTTTCTCAATTTTTGAAATGGCATAGTGGCGTAGATTTAGTGACCTCATATTTCAACATTCATTAATTTCATTATTTGCCTGATTTATTTTAATACGTTCCTTCAGCTTCTCTTATACTTATGCTTTCACACTTTCGAAGTGCTGATGAAGGTTGATAGCCCTTTTAAACCTAACCTGCCTCAAGAACCTCCATTGCTAGGACTCTAGAGCTGTCCCTGCTGTCTACCATCAACCTATTATCTTCTCTTCCTTGAATCTACCAGGTTTGACAAGCTGCTGTACCTTGGTGTGAGCAAGGATAGATCATCACAATCAAGAATACTTCATGCCCTAACAAGAAAGTGAGTATAGTATACTCGGAACTGCATAATAAAGATCACTTACCTGTCCATGTTTATCAATATTTTTTTTTTTTATCAGAGACGCAGCCCTGTACAGGTTTTAAAAACTTTTTTCTGCATCCCCAGACATGTTTGTTTCTAACTGAAAATCTGAGTAAATCCAAATTAAGATGGAGAGACATGAAAAGAAGTACCAGTATTTGTAGGCAGGTGGTCTATATATTCAAGCCCCCTGTTGTAGGAGTTCTAAGAAACCCTGATAAAGTGAAATGCTATTTTATGTAGCTGTTGCAGTTTTTTGTTATAGGTAGTTTATTATCATCACATGTTACTGAATCCACTAGTTTAAAAGGAATAGATGAAACTGAAAGAAAAAGCTTTGACATTATTGTGCCATTGATGCATGTACAGTTATTATGCAGAAAAGCAAGATCCATGTATCTCCTGCACTTCCTTCCGTGCGTGCGTGCGTGCGTGCGTCAGTCCGTAACAAATCTGGTTTCGATCGATAATTTCAGTAATATTTGAAGGATTTTAATGAATTTCGATATGAAGGTACATGATATCAAAATACAGACTAAGTTCGATTTTGGAGTACGTAGGTCCAAGGTCAAAGGTCATAGCTCATTAAATATGCGAATTAGGTTTTCGATCCATAACTGTAGTATTGTTTGACGGATTTTAATGAAATTTGATATGAAGGTTCATGGTATCAAAACACAGCCTAAGTTCGATTTCGGAGTATGTAGGTCAAAGGTCATAGCTCATTAAATATGCGAATCTGGTTTCCTTTCGATAACTTGTCTGAGTAATGTTTGTCAAATTTTAATGAAATTTGATATGAAGGTACATGGTATCAAAATACATGTACAGCCTAAGTTCGATTTCTGAGTATGTAGGTCAAAGGTGAAAGGTCATAGCTCATTAAATATGCAAAAACACCTAATTATAATGTGAAATTGTGGTTAATTTCCTTGCCTAGTAATATAATAGTATGGTCCAATGTTCTGATGTATATAGGCCATTTGTACCCTGCGAGGGGATGCTACGCTTTGCGTTGACTTGTCTTCTTTATTTCTTCATATTTTTTACCCTTTATCTCATAGAATAATGTCATGAATGTGAATTTACAAGGCTACTGATTCGAAAAAGGGTGTGGAAGGGGGTCCAGACATGTTTTTTTTCTTCTCCCTTTCCCCTTCCCCATTTCTTTTCCCTCTTTTCTTGATCTTTCTTTTTTCCCTCTTTTTTCACTCGATGAGTTTCTATTTGTTTACACCCCCATACCCCGTGTAACTATGCCACTAGCTCTTGGATAAGTATATGATATAATAATAGTTAGCTCAAACACCTTAACCTAAACAAGGTTATTTAAAAGAAATTATGAAAACTCCTTTATATTATCATGACAAATTGATTGCATGCAAAAATATGACGAGAAATGTATTGTGCTGAAAATTGAGGAATATTTTTTTTTGGAAACTTTATGCATGTAACAAACCTTGGATGAAACCTTACAAAACTGCAAACTCATATCATGTAGACCTGCACAACATCCCTAGAATTCTATAAAGTCTTCCCAGGCAAGGTTATTATTCTTGTATTGTAATAATCCTAGATTAAGTAGGTAACGAATGTGGGAGTATCTTGCCAACGATTGTGTCATTAATACGTCATTAATGCATATTTATCAATGTACTTTAAAGGTCATGCACAGTTCTAGGATATTTTGGAAATTGGATGGATATTAATTCTTTCAAATTTTGGTATATTTGGATGCCCCTGTGGATGTATTATAAGCACTAGAAGATTTAGCCCCTAAAACACTTCTGCTTTTGAGAAGTTTAATAATAAAAAAATTACCGGTACTCCCAGTAAATTTCAAATATTTCAAATATCGCCTAAGGCCATTCCATGGTAGCTGCGACAATGAAAATCTCAGAATATGCAGTTCTGATATCTAATTTCCAAACGGGAATAGCAAATTGCTCGATTTTAGTCCAGAAACATTGTTTTAAAGCCAAAGTAATATTAGTCTTGAGAGGGCACTATACAACATAAAGAGTTCATTATTTACGATTCCATCACTTGAAACGCGATTTCAACCGCGACAAAGATCATAGAATATTGCAAAATTCATGACCCCATACCAAAACTTTGTATTACCTTTAACACAGTAAATTCAATTTTGTTTTCACTCTGCATTTGAACTTAAAACAGTTTAGATTCAATTCTATTATCATTATGTATCCCTCTCTTCACTAGATTCAATGTGAGTCCCTCGCTGGATCTAGAGGTCATCGCCCAACAATGCCCTTTGACCCTGCGTGGGGCAGGACATCAGAGATCATGTTCAACATATCAACAACTGTTTGAAATGTTATTTTATTTTCATTACGCTTCCCCTTTTTCACTAGATTCAACGTGAGTCCCTCCCTGGATCTAGAGGTCATTGCCCAGCAATGCCCTTTGACCCTGACTGGAGCAGACTTCTACGCCCTGTGCTCTGATGCCATGCTCTGGGCAATCAAGAGGAAAATAGCAAGTCTGGAAGCAGGTTACCTCTCCTCTCTATTTTCATTCAATCTCACTGCAATCTTCTTAACGAATATAGGCTTCTGCTTTGGTTCTGTTAACACGTTCTTTGCTAAGAGATGCATCAAATTATAGAAAATATAATGAATGAAGTTGAATTAAGTTTCAAGGGTCAAATACTTGACTCTCAAAATCACTTGCATGAAATATCTTCCATGTGAACAATCTTCAAACTGCTTGACCTGTTTCTATTCAAGCCCCCGGGAAGAAATTCCTGTCCGAAATTGGAGATGAGCATTAAAATTTGTTGGTGGGAGTTGAACAAAATTTATGGAACATATATGCTGTAAATGGTCACAGTCAACATAAAATCTTGCACGTTTGGCTCTTTTTTGCTTTTTTGACGAGTGAAACATAAGTTCACTTGAATTGTTTTACCAACTTTGTTCAAAGGTCTCATGGTCTCAAAGTCAAAACATTCATACACTATGCCATTTTGGCTCCTCACAAAGTTACTTGTATAGTATTGTGAATTTCTTGCTTTACTTACAAGTAGCATATCAAAATAATGCCTCATCTTAGAAACTGTATTTTACTATGATCAGTCCAACCATTTCAGATATTGCAACATAATGCGACATTTGACCCAGGAGGTCGTAGAATGTTATGATATGAGTTTGATGTTTGAATAATATATCATATCAAGTCAAATGACTGATGATTGTTTTTTTTTCTATTCTTTCTTGAACTCCCTAGGTGAAGCTGTGGACCAAACTACCATAGTGGTAGATGAGAATGACTTCTTGGGAGCCCTTGATAGATTAGTTCCCTCCATCTCTGAGCTCGAGCTCAATCATTACAAACAGATTCAAAACAGAATCAGCAGGGGCTTGTAATAAGTATCCAGGTCACCTAGTACTTCGGAACCACCAGGAGGGTGTTTCACAAAACTTGTCATCAGTGACAAATGACAGTTGTTGTTGTTGTAAGCTACTTTAATCCTTGCTTCTGATTGGTTATCAGCAGATTTGTCATTGAAAAAAGACTTTGTGAAACAGGTCCCTGGTTTCTTATGGGTTAACCAAGAGACCATAATGGTTGATGAGAAAGATTTCATGGGAGTTACTGAACACTGTGCTTCCTCAATCTCTAAGCTAGAGTTCAACCAGAAACGGATTAAAAACAGAATCAGCAGGGGCTTGTAATAAGCCTTCTGGGTCACCTAGTGCTTCTGAACCACCAGGGAGATGTTTCACAAATACTAATATCGACTTTAAGTTGGACTTAACTATGGCAGGCCATTCATGCCACTGGTTGCTCTCACCGTTGCACAGTGGGCCAGAATCGCCTCATAGTGTGCCAAAATTCAAAATCGGCGAATGGAATTTTTTTTTTTTTTTTTCATTCGCTTGGGGAAGAAAACATTCTAAAGAATATTTTTCCACCCATATTTTAATATTTAGCGAGTTTTAAAAGTGTCATATACCCCTGCGAACATGGGAAAATCTATATGTTGCTCCAAAAATGATAAAAGAGGCAACTTTACAATAGGTGTTGAGAATTTATGAAAGGAAAAGCAATCAACTTGATACTGCGTGCACTTCTTGCCTATTGGTAACCCAATTAGAAAATACAATGACCAAATTCATTTTGGGAAAAATGAGCATTAAATTTCACAAAAAAGGAAAAAATTGCAATTTTTATATAAAAGTAGCATGTTTATTAGGATTCCTGCCGATTCCCGCAATGATGTTAATCTCAAAATGTCCGCCCAAACCTAAGCTTTCCATGTATGGTATTTCTTTTTGCTTGAATTTGCTACACTGCATGTGCAGGCGCTTTTCCTCCCCACGTCCATTGATTATTATTAGGCATAATCGGTACACATTTGTACTGTTTTCGTTTACGCACAGCCAATTCAACGCTCGTCCGCGTAACCATGGCAACGCACGGTGGGCCAGGGAGGAACCAAAGTGCGCCAAAACTCATTTTTTGGTGATTTTTTTTTTTTTTCAATTCTCTTCTTGACCAGTTGAACTGTAATACATTGAGGAATACCTCAGTGAAATATTTAATTCCGGTAAGCACAACTAGGGTACAAATTTACTCCTTCAAACAGCAAAATCCTACACATTCACAGTTTTAGTGCAAAAGTGACTTATTTTATAAATCTTTCAATTTAACATGAAGTTCTTAAGTTATTGATATGAAATTGCTCTCACATATTCCTGATAGTTCATTTCGTTGCATGAATTGGTTAATATGTATAGAAACACAATCTTCATTATATATTAAAGGTTAATTCACTGAAAAATGGACTAATTATCCATGTTTTTTATAAATCCAGAGAAAACGTTTAGATTTCCGCAGAGTTCCACTTATATTTTAATACCACCATTTTGTCTGATGTCTAAGCTTTAAGTTGATACCAAATTTGGCTGCCCGATCTTGCCCGTTGTCATGTTAGAGCTGATTCCCCTTGCCACATTGTCCCGAAAAATATGTTTGTTTTTAGTCCGCGGCTGAATCATGAAGGATTCGCGGTCATAAATCACGTCGCTTGGGGGTGCGTGACACTTGTTCTGACACCGCGGACCAAAATAAACACATTTTTCGGGGCAATGTTGCAAGGAAAATGGCTCTAACATAATAATGGGCACAATCGGGCAGCCAAATCTGGTATCAACTTAAAGCTTAGATATCAGAGAAAATGTTGGTAATACTATTTAAGCGGAAATCCCTGGACATCCAAACATTTCCTATGGATTTATAGAAAATAAATCCCCAGAAATTAGTTTTGGCACACTTTGGTTCCTCCCTGGCCCACTGTGCGTTGATCTCTCAATTATAATCTTTAGATAATAATTTTTCCTTCAGTAATGAACTAATAAAAAAGGTAAATTCTGTAGATTTGTGACCACGATTTGTATGTCCCTTGAGAAACCAATGCCAGGAATGATTAGAGGAACTAGTGGCATAAAAGGCCTGCCATAGTTAAGTTCAACTTAAAGTTGATCTTAGTCTTTGTGAAACACTCCCCAGGTCTCTTATGGGTTAACCAAGCAACCATAATGGTTGATGAGAAAGATTTCTTAGTTGCTACTGAACAGTGGGCTCCCTCTATCTTTGGGCTAGAGTTAAACCATAAATTAAAAACAGATTCAGCAGAAGCTTGTAGCAGTTCCCAAGATCACATATTATTCTACACCACCAGGGTTCTTTGGGTTGATCAAGTGACAACAATGCCATGGTTGATGAGAATGATTCATAGGGAACATTTGTTCAATTAGTTCCCTCTAATGATGAGCTAGAGCTCAACTACTACAAACAGATTAACAAGCTGATGCTTGTAGGGATTCTTTCATTAGTTTCCCAGTTTAGCTGTATGATAGCTGCCATCGGGATTATCTCTACAAGTAACAAGTAATTAGATGACCCAAGATCTATACATCTGATCATGTTTTTGAAGGACCTGGTTTCTCCTGGGTGGACCAAACTAGTGGTTGGTTTGAATAACTTCTTGGGAGTGCTTGATCGCTCAGTTCCCTCCATCTCTAAGCTAAAGCTCAGCGATCACAAACTAAACTGCCATGCGCTTGTATTATGTCTCAAGATCACCTTGTGTTTCTGGACCGCCAGGTTCTTTGTGGTTGAATGGCTTCTTGGGAGTGCTGTAATGATTAGTACGTCAATTCCCTAATTCCTGCTTTCTCTTTAGAGCTCAACCATAACAAACAGATTAAAAACAGAATCAGCAGAGGCATTAAGACATTCTATCTATCTATCTATCAGGCTATAGTTCACCCAGACGTTGGACAAAGCCCTCCTCATAATATTTCCATTCTCTTCTGTCTCTAGCTATCCTAGTCCAAGCGGCCGTTCCCATGTATGATGTTAGGTCATCTCTCCATCTTCTATTCTGCCTTCCTCTTCTTCTCTCTCCCGTCCTCGGTTGCCATTCTGTCAAACGATTTGTCCATCTATTGTCCTGAAGTCTTGCTACATGCCCAGCCCATCTCCACTTTGATTCTCTGACTTTCTCCATGATGTTTTTACCCTTTGTTTTCTGGCGTATGACTTTGTGATTGATTTTGTCTCGCAGAGATAAATGCGACATATTTCTCTCCATAGCTCGCTAAGACATTCTAATGATGACTAAAAGTTCATACCAATCATTACATTTCTGCACTGCTAGGTTTCTTGAGGGTGTCACCAAACTATCTTTTTTTAATGAAAATGATTTATTGAAAGCCCATTATTGCCCTTTTTTAAACCCCGATGAAAGCGACTCACAGCAGAATTAGCAGGAGCTTGTAGTCGGTCGTAAGAAGCCCCAGCATCCATACACCTCAATGTATTTCTGCAAAATCACATTTCCCTTTTTTTTAAACTTGAGGTCAGGAGGAATGCCAGCGACCACCTTTTGCTTCTTAAAAATGGATTATGACCAGTTGCACAAATTTTTGCCAACAGTAGTAATTCAGTTCTTGAATTTGAATTGTAGATAAAGCCTTAATTTGCGGAAACGTGTAACAGTCCAGGATATGCATGTGAATGTGGAAATGTACAAGTACATGTACATGTATGTCAATCTTGTGATCTCTTCGGGATCTCTTAGGTGAGTGGGCTCAGTTGATAGCTTGTATTCCTTCCAAACAGGGGAAAGTTGATGCAAATTCAGCCGTGGCATTTCATAAAAGACTAATGAATCGTGTCCATACTGTATTCGCAGAGAAGGACAGGTGAACAGTGGCCGTGAATTCTCTATCCTAGAGATCCTCTACTGCAGAAATACCCTTATCATGTCAAAAAACCCAGTGCAGTTATCATAAACGACTGGGGTGTTTCCTTATATGTCTTGGCTTCAGATTGAACAATGAGGAGTAAAAACTAATGAAGGAGGGTGAGACAGAAAACGACACGGAAGAGGAGAGGAAAAAGGGAAGAAAATGAGAAACCCTCTTATCCGTTTCTAAAACTAAATGTTTTTAGTAGACATAGAAAGATGCCCATAGCAACGTCTGTATCTAGCCTTAATATAGACAATGCCATTTTCTGATAACAACAACAAGTCCAAAGCAATTGTATGATCTACAATGTCACCTTCTCAATCACAAAATCTGTGACTTCAAAGTGAAAGTGGCAGAGTGAAAGTTGACTTCCTAAGTAGTGTAAGTGTCTTTTCTTTCCCAGAATATTCCATCTTATAAAGACAAACAACATATGACTGCACACTGAGGTAAATGTTACAGCAGATTTTCGAACGAGGGCATTTAAAGTCCAAAGCAATATTTTCTCATGAATTGCCCCCCCCCCCCCGGCCCCCCTTGGACCTCACTGCCGGCTAGATCCGCCCCTGTCATCTACAGTGTCGCCTTCAGACCCACCACACCTTGTGACTTCACAGTAAAGTTATGGCTGCACTAGACTTTGTTGGACAAACATTAGGAAATCTTTTAGGTCATCAAAAACCACCATAAAAGTAAACAAAAATCGTCGTAAATGTGCATGCATTCGTGAGCTGGTCTATTTGCTTGTCATGCAGGAGGGGGCAGGCAGTCCATGTTAATAAGTGTTTTTCCCATTTTCCCCATATTTTTTTTTTATCATTCAGGATTCAAATTTACCCTGACATTTTCCAATTTAATCAACTAATCAGGAAATGAAGATCATGGTCATGTAACTGAGTTATGAATGGTGTGGCAACACTTTTTACAGATTACATTAATCATTTAAAGAGGACAACATTTGAACAACAATGAATGGAGTTTGAAGAAGGCTTTACTGTTATGAGGATGTATTATGATCGCATTTTAAACTTTAGGTTTTGATCATTCTTTTTCTGTCTAGCTCTTTCTTCTTTACCTGCATTGTATTCAGATTTTCTAATCGGTACTCGATATGGGATTCTAAAGATGTGTAATGGTATGACTACAATTATATCAAGTTTCATACTAAGTGGAATTCGAAATACATGTGTGTGTAGGTTATAATGTTGTTTAATATTGAACTTTTAACTCTGAACTTTGTTTCCTTTCTTCAAGATTATGTGCCAAAATTATATAAATTTATGATGGAATATTTTATATAGATTAAACATGGCTGTGTAGCACAGTGTAATTTGTGTTTCATTTTTATGAAAATTAATGTACTTGCTGATTTAAACAAGGCAGTTTAACTATCTAATATGTTCTTCACATTTAGCGCTTAGAGACTTCAGTAGAAAGCGCGTTATAAGCACTGTTTTCTTAATATTATGGTATTCTTCCATCGTATATCCTCATCCAATATTACTACTATGCTGTCATTACAATGACAACTATGCTTACAATTATACATGTACATCTATTTTGTGAATGAAATAAATTTATTGCAGATATCTTAAGCTATACAGGGACAGGGTATAGACTCTTTTTTTCTGTGTCTCACTGGATTATGCAAGTCATGTGACAGAAGAGAATAATAGCACTTGTATGTTGATGAAAACTATGTGTCGTAAGAATTGCCTTGCCTTAATTGCTGTGATAATTTATATATTTGTTTGTTGTTCATGATGTACTTTGTTTATGATGTATATGCTGATTCATTTATATGTAGTAATAATCATACTTTTTTACACATTACATGTACTTGTATTAAAATATATACATATACATATATTTACATCATGCATGTATATGTGTTAAAATACATACCCCTGGTAGGCCTATATTTATTTCTACATGATAGACATATGTATACATTAAATATATTTTATTCATGAAGTTTATAATAATGTATGTGCATGAATATGTATTTTGTGAATAAAATTAAGTCCTTGCAAAATGAAGTAGTTCAGACTTTTGTCTATCTTATTACACGTGTCTCATTTGACATTCAACTATATGAGAGAATGTTTACATGTACTTTGTGAATGAAATTCAGTTGATGCGTTGTTCAGACATATTTTCTACCTACTCGAAAAATACAGAAGAGGAACGTGAATTATGATGGTATGTATATCTATAATGTTAATGAAATAAAACATCTTGTTATCGCTTTATTGAATGGTATCTGTTTGTCTTTCATAAATGTACTAATAAGGATTGAGAGAATAATTGTATGTTGCTCGATCAAAATCTTTCTCGTAACAAATGTCACTGTGTAGCTGTGAATATAT